GTGGTCAAAATGACTGGAAAAGCGCTATACAAGTTCAGTCCATTTACCATTTTACTACTGACGAAAACGGCAAAGACGACGACAGGAAGTGGTAGGAGGATGATGTGTTTTTTTGATATTAGCAGAATATCAACAAAGATCTGCACACATTTGTGCACAGTCCTCTCTAGGTGCTAACACCCTCAGATTCTAATGCCTGATTGTTTTCAGGGTTTTATGCGTCTAAAGCCCTGTTCATATGCCTGATGGTCTGATCTGTGTGTGTGTGTGTGTGTGTGTGTGTGTGTGTGTGTGTGTGTGTGTGTGTGTGCTGATGGAGTAGGATGCTTGTGTTTGAGGATGTCCATCTGTCAGAGGTTAAACTGAGTGATGTCCTTTAAACAGGGACATGCTGACAGAGGCAGGTTGAGCTGATGGATGCTTCTGCCTTTCAGGGACTTAAAGCAAAAACCACAGTGAGACATCTATCAGAAGAAAGACTGGGGTGCGCAATGAGGCTAGTACTATAAGAAAGGATGCAGCGCTGTCCTCAAACAGACAATTTCTGGCACTTGTGCTTGCTAATTTATAAGTAGAAGCAATTTTGATCATTTATTAGTGGTTTAAAAACCGAAAATTTAAAATTTGCCATAATATTTGTTTTGCCTGCAACAATGCTATTTGTTTATTAGGAAAAAATAGTTTTAAAAGTCTGGATAGTTGTGAAATAAAAATTACATTTTTCAGCACACAGGTTGTGTGAGAGCTTCTATTTTAATGTTTAATTGACCCAATTTGTCAAATACTAGGGTAAAAATTATACACACATATATATATATATATATATATATATATATATATATATATATCATTAGTTCATGCATGTTAAACCTGGAAATGGCATGACCTCACACCAAATTTAATTTTGCTACAGTTGCAGGTTGGAAAACCTGTGGGACTTGTTAAACATTTTTGCTCAAGGTCCAGACCAACAAAAATTAGCAACAAAAGCTGACAGCAGTGTTTTTGTTTTTATTTTTGTTGTTGTTTGTCGTTTTATGGATGCTATGTGTGTGACTTATCTAATGAAGTGCAAACCTTCAATAAACAGTTTCAACGTTCTCCAAAATCTTCACGAGTCATGTTTGATGTTTAAGTAAGAGTCGAGGAAAAATGAAGGTCAGAATAATAGTTTTATGGTTTAAAGATTTGTAAAGTCTATTTTAATTTAAGATTTAGATTTTCAGCAGATTCTAACTTTGTGGTCAAATGGAATCCATGTGAGGTCGAGTGAGATTTAGTGACATGTATTTTTTTTTTTTTTACAGTAATTATCATAAGAGTTTAGCGACACAACTAAATTCTGACCCTGAAGCACTAATCATAACCCGTTCTGCTAAGGTTAATATGCTACACTGACACGATAATTAGCCGTGGTTAACGCTAAAACGCTAACTCAATTCAAATTATATCTGCCCTTGAAAGACTACAACCTTCAAGCACCAGTTTAAATTTAACTTAATTTACATCTTCTATAATTTCCTTAAGTATATAATTTATGTTTATATCTTTACCGTCTGTGTTGTACTTTGTTGTTCTATATCTGTTGTTTAAAATAAAGCTATTGGGGAAAGAAAGAGCGAGAACAGGAGAAGAGGAAATAAAACTTCAGTGTAAACAGTCTTCACCCACTTCAAAATAAGAGCATGAATACGAACATCTAATTACTTGAAAAATTCTTAAGAGTAAATAACCAAAACTTCAACGCAGATGTCGAATTTTATTCAGCTGAAAGTTACCAACAGTCAAGCAAGTAATTATGGAGCAATTCATACCCCTGACCCCTGACCCAAAAACAGCGTTTCCCTTTGTGGGGTCCAGGCTTTGGACCCCACAAGGAGCAGCGGGTCCTCACAACGTCGTATGTGTCAGGAAAATGGTCCCCACAAGGTATTAAAAACAAACACACCCACACGCACCCACACAGAGCACTTAAGCATTCCAGCCAGAAAGATGTGAGGCGTTCTTCACACGCTGCGTAATTGCAGTCATGATGAGAATACCAAAAAGAATTTGCGCCCTCTTAGTCGCTGCGTGTGCGTCTCTAGGCATATAAATTTATTTAATTTCTCTAATATAATATAGAACCAGTACGCGGCTGCAGCTTTACAGTTAAGTGCATTGCAAGTGTGAAGCTTATTTGATGTTGAACCTTTTATCTTAACGGAGAGCAGAAAAGAAGAAAAATAGTAAGGGGGAAAAACATTTTAAAAGAATTAAATAAACACAAACAACATTAGTTTTGATGAATCTGCCTGCTTTATGATTAAAAGGGATGGAAATGCTGGGCAAACTGTGAATTCATATTTGGCAAAGTGCTTTTTTATGTTTAAACATTGCAGTACAAGGCTGCCTTTAGTTACTTTACTTTGCTTATAAATGAATGTTAGAAAGAAAATAACATTAAAGGATTCTTGGATACCCATCTTAGTTCCTCTTGTTTTCCGAACAAAGCTCCCATTTTTAGCAATGATTTTTGTTTTAGTTTTTGGTAAAAATCACAAAGCATACTGATAATTAAATCTCATAGAGTCTCTCAACCCAAAAAGCCAGAGGGATAAAGTTCCAAGACAAAAAAAAAAAGGTTGCCTTTGTTTTCAATTCCAAAGACCGTCTTAATAATTGATTTCAACAGTTTCACCAATTCAATCAATCAACTTTAGGCAATAATTCACTGATAGGTGACCATTAACTGTAGCAGTTGACTTAATATCTTCAAAATCAGAAGTTTGCATACATGTCCTCAGTATTTGGTTGGATTGTCTTTGACTGTTTATTAAATGTTTTATGTTTCCTTCCTCATTGTTCTCACAGTAGTTGGCTGAAGTTCTGGTCTATTCCTCCTTACAGAGCTGACAGAACTAAGTCAGGTTTGTAGTCCGCCTTGTTTCCAGATGCCTTTTCAGAGCTGCCCTGATGTCTCTAGGACTAAGACCAGGACTTTGTGATTTGCCACATTGACCTTGTCCTTAAACCACTTCGTAACCTCTTCGGATGTACAGTAAGGGTCATTGTCCATTTGGAACACCAATCTGTGCCCAAGTGCCATCTTCCTGGTTGATGTCTTTAACCTTTCCATAGTGTTATTTCCTCATGATGCCAACTGTTTTATGTAGTGGACCAGTTCCTCGTGGCGCTGCCTCCTCCGTACGTCACTGTTAGAATTGTTTTCCTAGGCTTACAAGCATCCCTGTTTTTCCTCCAAATGTAACAATGATCATCACGCCCAAACAGTGTCACTTTGGTTTCATCAGACCACAGGACATGTCTCTGAGCATGAGAGTTTAGGGGTAGGAGTTTATAAGTTCTCACTTCTTCCTACCCCATTTTGAGCATGATATGTTAACTGAAACAAAAAAATCTGTATTTTCTCTTCTTTCTTATGCACTTCTTGTTACTGTGCACTATTTTATTTTATATTTGTATCATGTTCGAATAAAATTTCATTTCATTTCATTTCATTTCAAAAAAGAGTCTGTGTTTGGGAACTGCAATTTGGTGTTTTGTTCATTCTTTTGGGGTAGAGACTTGTTCCTTGCCTAATGGCCTTTTAACCCATGTCGGTACAAAATGCGTTTCTCTGTGGATAATGATACGGTCTCACCAGTTTCACCAGCGTCTTCACAAGGTCTTTGGCTTGTGAAAGACCTTGGTGTCTACCTGCACATTTAAGACGCAGAACTTGTCTCCTTCCTGTGCGGTATGAGGGTTGGACATCACATCATATTTATACTTGCGTATAATTGTTTGAAAAGAATGTGATGCCGTCAAGCGTCAGTGATTAGTTGTCATGGTGATCCAGACTTGTGCAGCTGCACAATTCTCTTTCTGATATTTTGGCTGATTTCTACAGACTTTCCCATTGGGTCAAACAAGAAAGCAGAGTGTTCCAGGTTTGGTCTTCAAATACATCCATAAGTCTGCCTCCAACTAACTCAGAAGTTTCCAAAGTCATGATTATCTAATTCTGAGTGTGGTCTGATACAACTTCAGGCGGTGAGATAAAAAGGTTTGTGTCTTTTTTAGTTTGGTGAATATAAACTTCCGGTTTTAACTGTACATGCCGTTGGTAATAGATGTTACATTTTCACACTTGTAGCCTTAAAGATATTTAATCAAAAATGTGACAAAACAACCAGATGAAATAACCATTCCCTTCCCAGGTTCCTATCCCTTTAAATTTGTCCACAGTTCTTACTTATTTGCAGTCAGGCAGCTGTGGTTCAGTTCGGAGTTTAGAAATCTTGCGATTGGACGCCTCCTTTTGCACGTTGATAGTATCTTTGTACACCAATAGTTCATTTTGATCTACTTGTTGGTGCAGGATGTGAGTGCTGCTGGGTTAATGAGATTTGTAGTGTAAAGGCATATTGAGTTCCATCCACGTACAACAATCATATTCACTGATTAAAACCTTTCGAATTGTTTTATGTTCACATACTTCTTCATACTTTACTGCTTTGCATTATTTCATCTGACACCAACAGCAAACACACACTGACTTAAATATAGTCTGGTGTTGCGAATGGAAAGTCTGGATCATAATTTACACCAACAAATCCTCGTTGGTCAGCGTCCCGCTTCTCTTATGCGGCGCATGAATGGTCCTGGCTCATTAATTGTTATTGATTTCTGCTATTGGTAGCTTTAAATGGCTCATAACTGTGATTGGTGGTTTGGCAGGTCCTGGTCTGGCCCGTGTTTAGTGCTTTCACTTTGTGAGCTATAAAACTCTAAATAGATAATCAATGCAAGGTCGTCCGCCTCTGAAGCTGATTTAAAAAAAAAAGAACGATTTTGAGGTTTATAAAATGGCTGAATAAATGTAAACGTGAAGTCGCAAAATTCATTTGTGTGAGAGATAATATGCACAACTCTACAGAATATCAACTTTTAGAATGTCTTATAGTCACTGTTCAATAATTGCTACATTCATTTAGCATAAATGCTGCCTCATACTGATGGCCGTGAGTTCATTGGTGGAAAATCTAATTATCAGATAAGATATTGTGGATTTATTAACAGATAATACAGTTTTTCTTTACAGTCCTTGTCGCAGCTTTCTAATGCCCAAAACTGACTTTTTTCCGAGAAAGCCTGTGGGTGACAGCTGGTTTGTTTTTTGAACACACTTTCAATTTGTTAGTTTATGTCTAGCAAGAGAAACAAAAGAACATTTCAATCAATCATTTTATTTCACAAAGATTGAACAACAAAACTAAATAAATTATGCAAAAAAAAATTAAGTTAAAAAAAAATTCTAAGATTTGTTTCTTTTTTGCAATTTTTCCCAACTTTCTGAGACCACCCCACAGCGCCCTCTGGCGGCCCCCACTCTGAACAACACCACTGTAGAACATTACCCTTTTGACCTCTGACCTCTCTTTGCCTTCGGTCTTTCAGGTGGTCATGGTGGGCTCGTCCATCAACGAACGAGACCAGATGCTCTTCATCAGCACAGACGAGGGCTCCTCCTTCCAACGGCAGGCGGTCGCCTTCACACCAGACACTGTCATCTTCCACCCAAAGGAGGAAGACAAGCTGCTGGCGTACTGCAAGGACGGACGGGTGAGGGACGAGGGACTCTGAGACTTCCTGTTTCAAGCACACCAAGTCTGTCCCTGATTCGAAAATCCGTCTTATTGGTATCTCTGTCATGGACTTGGCAGCTGAGCGTTTGCGACATGGCTGTTCTTGTTCACAGCGTGGTGGGAAATGCTGCTAGAACAAGAAAATATGAGCAGCGGACAGACTGGCGTGCTGTTAATTTTCTAACATTTGGCCTGATTATATAAACTGCTTCCTTGGGAGACGAACTGAAAGTGAGCAGCACACATTGAGTCGACAATTATCGTGGAAGTAACTCAGGCGTAGAGGGCGTCTCCGAATGCAAGACAATACGTTGTGTTCTCATGCAACTTCAAAGCGTTGCGTTCTCATTAGAGGGAAATTGTCAGTTACAGTGCAAGCCTTAAAACCGGCTATTTAACGGTGACAGATGTAGGGCAGGGAGGGATCCTCAGGTGCTGCCTAATGAATGCACACACACACATCCACAGCTAGATAATAATGTGGCTTCATGGCTCTGAAAACGTCTTCAGATGCTGTTTTAGTTCCGTACTCTTTGTAGCCAGGAGGCATTGCAGTCGCTCAACGACCGCGCCGCACAAGTAGAGACCCGTCTGTGTGAAAGGCTCTGCGCTCATCTATAATTGAGACCTTGTGTCATGCTGGTTGTGCCTTGTGATATCAGAGGCTGACATTTATAGTTTATCATATTCAGTTGTTCTAAGTTCATAAGGAATAAATTATCGTTGTCGTGTCTTCATTCATTGACGATAATGTGAAACCAGAGTTAAAATTCTTGTTTGACGTATAAATACTTGACATATAAATCGGATTCAGATCGCCAATCATCATCATCATACATATAGTGAGTACAATTTTCATAAGATGTAGATTTGACTTGCAAAGAAAAAAATAATCTTTTGCTACAATCATTTTAGGCCTTTGTACTTAAGTCTGGATGACCAAAGTCTTCAGTCTGGTGTATTGGTCTCAACTAGCCCTCATTTTGAAGGACAGTTCTGTATACAGAGACTTGAGTGTCCATTTTATTTGTTGTTTTATTTATTTATTGTGGGTATTTAAAATGTCTTCCAGTTCCAATGTGAAATGTTCATTAGAAGATAAAGTTAATGGATCTTTGAGAGGTTCCACTTGCGTTACGACGCCATCACCAATATGTTACTTGGAAACGGTCTCAAAACCACAATAACATCGTTTATTGCAGTAACTTTTGGGAGAATTTATCGTCCAGCAAAGTTTGTTATTGGTAGTTAAAAGCTGCACTCCACAGAAACTGTAAGCCACAACTTAAAAGTGGTGCAAGTGGAATCTCAAGTGCCACAGCTAAATAAATGTCTCAGTGCAAAAAAAAAAATTCTTTCAGGCTCTTTCTGCTTCCTAGAATTGAGTCCCGTCGTACAACACCATTCCTCCAAATCACCAGCAAGACACTCCGACCTTTTCTTCGGAGTTATCAAAGACATCTTTACCAGTTCCTTCAACTGCTTGAGTTTACTGGCTTGATTTGGCAGAGCCAGATTTCACTCTGACACTTTCTAACATGGATTCTTGAGTTAAGATTAAACTCTTAAGAGGAAAGGATTTAGTCCTTTTGGTCACTACCCATAGCACCTGACCTGCAGTCAGAGACACGAAACAACACGTAAATATGCAGTTTACTCATTGAGCTCAGTTCTTGTGTACTCAGTCTTGCCTACTGGAGTTGAGACTTGGTAAATTTCTGACTTCGCCTCAGAAACATCTGGAAACGTCCTGAACAAGGTTCTTCACACCAACCTCTTCGGTCTAGATTCAGCGACCTAGACTGTGAAGCAGCTTTTCCCCCATCGAAAGCAGCCCGTTTCTTTGTTTCCACAATGTTTTCAGACTGAGTCCTCTTTACATTTATGGGTAAATAAATGGCACAAAAAAGGGTCCAGGCTTCTTTATACTCAGAGCTTTAAATATTTAACAGGAAGGGCCTTTAGTGACGACATATTTCACAAAGGATAAATCACATGTTCAGGTGATTATGAGAAACGAGGGTAAGGAAGAAAGGTGAGGTTTAATGAAATGGTAGTAAATCTTTGTCAAAGTCGCACGATAGAGAGAGCTCTGCGCTCAAATTCTTTTCTGACTTTAATTATATTTCTTTAGATATCGAGGACAGTATGAAAATCGATAGAATTTCATTATAACCACGATCAATGGTTCAACCAACCTGCATATTACTACCAACACACTGTCCTGAGTATAGTTCAAGAAGTTTCAAACACACACACACACACACACACACACACACCCACACACACACACACACACACGCACGCATGCCCACCACACATGCACTTTGCAGTCCTCACCTGTTATGATTAATAATTAATTGAGCTCAATCTTGACTTGGTGAACCATGAAATTCTGTAGCTTGATTGGATGATTTTTTTTTTTTTTTTTCATATTCCATCCCATCAATTTAACCTCCATTGTGAGCGATCCAGCTGGTAATAAGCTGCAGGTTATGGCCATGATTAAAGCTAAACGCACTAAGTGTTGGGTTTTTCTGTCTCACTGTTTTCTCGTCTCCAGCTCGTCGCTTCAACCGATCTGGGCCGCAAGTGGACTTTACTTCAAGAGAGGGTGACCAAGGACAGAATCTTCTGGTCAGTAATGCCTTATTCTCCTAATAAAAAAGGCACAAATTTATACAGTAAAAATACATTTTTATAAATTTAAGACTAAGAATCAGTCCGTTACATAAATGATTTGTAATTTTACAATAACAGAGGAACCCTGGTGTAGATTATTTGCGTTACAGTTATTGACCATTAACTGAGAATTTGTCTGGTTCTAAAGTTAAAAATAAAAGAACTTTAATGGACTGTTAACACTTTTAAAAGATGTATACTTTAAAGAAAATCATTTCAGAAGCTTTTAATTAATTAGCCATTGCTTTTTAAGATAAAATGACAAGAAAGTAGCAGAAAATGAGGTCTCAGATTGTCAACTGTTCCAGAAGGTTTTTAATCTTTCTGAAAATTATGTTGACAAAATACACAAGCCTGTTTTATTTTCCACTTAAGAAAAATCTCTTTAAAAAAAGAAAAATTATTGACAGAAAACTGGAGAGTGTTTTGGTCAGCCGATGCATTGTTCTGTTTAGTTACAGCTGATCTGAAAAATTCCCAGATCAGCTGTATTGATTAAAATGATTGTATTTAATGTTTGTTATTTCACAGCATTAAAATGAGCCCTGATTAAGACAAATTCATATTAGATCAAATACATTTTAATCATGAAACCCATTTGATTTATATAAAAAGAAATGGAACTCCTTTTAGCAGTCTGATGTTTTTCTTCCTTCCATACACCCTTATATGGCACTAATTGCTCTTTAATTGTCTATATAAGAAAAGTAATGATATTTTAACTCTCCATTAAACTACAGAGTTCTAATCAAACGTGCTGTAAATTTTACACATTACCAAAGGGCTCAAAGAATGAGACTGAAACTGTATTTAACTCTGAGTGTTTCAGAATGAAATGGAAGCTTCCTTTTTTTTTTACTTTCCCTTAAACTAAAGCTTTATTTATTTACTCGGGCACCTTGGGGGATGGAAGGCAGTTCACCAGCATGCTTTGATGTCCTCATTTATGACTCAGTTTATTTATTTCTCATATATTCTGCTGGGATGACATTATTACAGAGTTTTAACTATTTTAAGACAAATACAAAAACAAACCTGTCTTTAGTGTCTTATGTTATAGATGCTATTTGCGTGGTTAGCATTGCTAGCTCTAAACAGCAGTGTGTTTTCACTACGTATTTAACTCGCTGATTTCCAAAACATTGCCAAATCTATCAAAACAGACAGATGTTGAAAACCTAAAGGCATAAAGCAGCGCTACGTTGCTGCTATCCCTTCAGCTAATGTTAGCTGAATCAGCTAAGATTTGCTTCTTTAGCAGTTCATCAAAAAGTCCCCAAGGTGAGAACAAGTTGATGTTTTGTAGCAGATGGCTCCTTTTTATACCTGAAACAATCAGACATAAAACAAAACAAAATAAAACTAATAAGCAAAAGTTTGTTCTTTGTTGTAGCATCCTAAATGAACAACTGATGTGTAGGAAGCATAGCTATACTTCTAAAAGCCAGTTATCGCTATACCTAAATCATTCATTTTGTTAGCTTCTTTCAATAACAACTTTCACACCAAAGAGTGGAGTTAATGTGACCTGGTATTGCGTCACCATTCACCAGTCTGGAAAATATCTGACTTTGATAAATCTCTGATGCACTACTGTGCATACATACAGTATTTGAATGAAGAACTAACATCAAACCAAACAATCAGAAACATTTCATAATAATGGAATTCCTCTGTGTGTTTTCAGGTCCGTATCTGGTGTGGATTTGGATCCTGATCTGGTGCACATGGAAATGCAAGATTCAAGTGGAGGTACTGCGATGATTCTTTTATTTATTGGTGTGTCAACGTCAAAGAGACCAATGTGTTATTTTCACTTAGTGGTACAACACAGGTCGATATGTTCCAGTACGCCATTTTCTGTGTTTAATTGTAAAAGTGGGTTATTCAACCAAACCATACCTCACAAATCCTTCAGTTGTAGCTTCACTGGGAAATGGTTTAGGATACTAAGATTATAGTGGAGCTTCTGGTGACACACAACACTGTCCGTTGACTGGATGACAGAAAAACATCACTGCTTGCGACAAGTGTGAGACATGTTGGATCATTTATGATGGCTGATGGATCAGGCGTTTGGCTTTAACCCTTCCTGCCCAATGAAAGACCAGCTGGCAGTGGGAACACTCTCCTCCTTTCAACGGCTAAACAGCCAGGTCCTGTCTACGACGCCACAACGAAAACAAACTCTTCCAGATTCTCCAGTTTGCATGGAAAGTGTGAATTTTTAAAAACATTTCTGGAAAAATATCGACGAATACGAATCAAGGACAAATTTTGAGAAGCACTAAACACAACAGATTATCTCCACAAACATTGCTTACTGTGCCAGAAGAAACAACGTAACCCTGTCACCAAAAACATAAGTTGCAGTGATTTATTTATTTTTTTTAATGTATGTATAAGCCTCGTAGCCATGACGATGACAATGGTGTCTAATTTTTTTTTTTTTTTACTTGAAAATTCTCAGTATGGTGAGGAGATTTTTTTCTTAGACAAAATAGCATCTCAAAAGAAATGCAGCAAAGTACAAGGGGCTCGAAGATGCCTCAGAGATCAACTCCACCTCAAAATGAAGGTTTTATGTAAAAGCACACAATAAAAATAATTCATGTGAAATATACACAAAAAAGTATTTGCTTAATTTCTTCATTCTTAGACCCAAAAAATAAAGTTAGCAGACACGCCAGCATACAGTTGGTACGATTTGAGTAGTACCAACTACTAATTACCTTGGATTAACTACCTTAGTCTACTTATTTATTTTTCCCTGTGGATGTTCTCAGTCTGTGGTGTGGTGAGTTATTCTCTGCTCCAACCACCAAGTCAGCTGTTCAGTACAGCTGCTAGAAAAGATAAGTGATGATAAATGTTGGACTGATGTAAATGGATTCCGGGGGGGGAGGGGCTAATAAGGGCTTGATTTTGTAATTCTTTGTTCTGCGTGCATAAAATGACCAAACAGATAATCACATTGGCTCAGTGATGGGTTTGTGATCTCCTCTGTGAGGGCAAACATGGAAGCATGCATGTGAGATTGTAAATGTAAACTTGTGTTTATCCATTATTTAAAAAACCCTCCAACTATAAATGAACCTGAAACAGGCAGATTCATTGTGAATGGCAGCCAAAGGGCATGAAAAAGCTGTTTTTAAATGAATACCATTTACTGTTTCTTCATTAAACTGCCCTGTAGGGGAAAAAAAAACAAAACACAAACACCTCCCAAAAGCCGAACCTCTTGAGGAGAGTGCTGTGAAATCTGTCGGCCTGAACAGGGACCGCCTGTCTTCAGCAAGGAAGGAAGAGGAAGGGGACGTCTGTGCGGGCCGGGTGCCCAGGCATGGGAGCGCTTCCTGGGACTACGGGCAGCGCCACATGCTCCTCCTGCCTCTCTCTTTTTCGATCCCCTTCATTCGGTGCCCAGATAGATGCCGAGTTAAAGCGGGGCCGGGGCGACCAGGCGTGCAAAACCATTCTGTTCAGTCCACCTCTCGTCACATGCGGCGCCGCCAAGGTTAAACGCCGAGCGACAGCGAAGGACGCAGAGTCGAGGGGATCTCTGCGAGACGAGGAACGGCGGCCTTTCGTCTCTCTGGGCCTCCGGCCGGCGAGAGGGTACGGGACTCCAGAAGAGATCGGCGCCGATCGATTGATGGATGAGCCATGTGTGCAAGAGGGTCTTACATGGAGAATAACCGTGTGTGTGTGTGTGTGTGTGTGTGTCATTAGGGAGACTGATGTATAGGGAAGCATGTGTAGATACATACAGGCCTAGAAACACCGACCGACATAGAGATACCTACACAAACAAACATCTCCCTCAAGTCTAGATATTCAAACAACCAGTTTATTAGACAAAAAAAAAACAAAAAACATCTAAAATCCTGTTTACTTTTCCTCTTACAGTTTTCCCTGGGATAATATCTCAGTTGCTTTGGGGAAGAACAAATATGCGCGCTCATTACTGAACATGAGCGCGCTTGCAGATGTGAAAGGACGGCAAACAGGCATGAGGAAGTGCACGAGCCACTAGCCGGAATTGAACACTTAGCCCGCCGTAATAGTTTTTTAATGAGTTCCTCGCCATATGCTGCTTTGATTAAATGTCTGGGCTTTTCAATAAATTAGCCACTCCATTTGTTACAGCGGACACCTCTCCAGTGTCTCAGGGGGGCGCCGGTGGGGGAGGGCAGGGTACAGTGCCAATAAAGAGGGCTGACTAGGTGATGCAATGTAGACTTTTTTTTTTCACCCTGGAGCTAAAGTCATTACTCTGATTGTCCTTTCCTCTGCTTTTATTCCTCTGAGAAACAATGCTGCCACACAATATATGATGTCACCATTAAAGTACTTTCCCTTAATGGAGGAGGTCGGAGAACCAAAGAGAACCTTCCAGAAAAAAGGCTACGTTTGAAACCGTATCAACAAGAAAGACATTGTAATACCTAATATCCACAAGATTCTGAATTGATATATTGGTGGTAGGCTAGCTAGCTATTTCGCAGTTAAAAATTCTTCCAAAAATAAATGCAGTTTGTTTTCTTTGACGCTGTTTAGCGTGTTATTACTTGTTCAGCTTATACGTCAAGTAGCAGTGTAACCATAGACCATAGAAGAGTGGACGCTACCTTGGCTTTCATGTGTACAAGTGAGATATCAGCCATATTCTGAGTGGAAAAATCTTCTTTGAAAACCAATACGAGTCTGATTGAGACGAATTTGATAATTAACATTCAGCACATTTCAATGAATTTATAATATTTTATGCACAATAATGTAACAGAAAAAAAAAGAATTTTAGTAAAAAATAATGTGACATTTGAGATAGATTATCTCCAAAATAGAGTAAAACCAAGCTAACTAGTTTATCTATAATCTACTGTTTGTCCCCCCCTGCATATATTCATTTATTATCAAATGTACGTGCTGCTGGCTCAGCAGATAGAAAATAACATTTGTTTGTGTCTAATGGATTTTTGGTTAATATATGTTTCACTTTTACTTTCTCAAGTCAGAGATGTGATAATTCATAGCAATATTACTCAAAAGTAAATGTATGATGTTTTTTTTTTTTTCAAATTTACCCAAGTATAAAACAACCTCTTCTTCTATGTAATATTTTTTTTTTCACAATCTCTCGAGATTAAGTTTACAAAAATTACTCCAGGAAAGGTTGTTCTTAAAAACCCACTCTGGAAAACCATTTTAAACATCTTATTTTTCTTTTGTAGTGTTATGTTTCAATGTGGGCAGCAGGGGGAGCTACACAAAGTCTGTTTGGCACAAAATCTATGGTTCTGCAATATCGGAGTCATGTATGAAAACACACATATGACTCATGAACACCTGGAGGCAGTTCAAAGAAAAGTTCATCACCTCAAAGCAAATTCAACTATTTGGCTTACACATGTACAGAAATTAAATGTGAGACCAACAATTTAAAACGGACAGCATAAAGTTGCAAGAATGTTTGTAACTTTGATGTAAAAAAGACTCATATCAGTGGCTGAGTGTGTAAAAAGCTTCCTTCCACTGCAGAGGTCGGATGTCCAGACTCATCCATCCCATTGAAATGTTACGTTGTACCAAACCTCACACCTGTGTGGGTGCATGAAGACTTAGAATGGGATAGTATGCTGTTTTATGTGTGTGTGTGTGTTATCTTTTTTTTTCCTCTGCTACCAGCTTGTCCCAGCCTCTGAGTAGGATAATGTGTTGATATTGCTGATGCAGCTGCTGGATTGAAATTCAGCAGTGGGTGAGCTCTGCAACAGGTGCTAACCTCGCTGTGTCTGTCTGTGAGGATTAGCTCCCCCCCCTTCCTTCCCCCAGGCCCCCGGCCATTTGGACGCTGCAGCGGCCAGATTTCCATGGAGAAGCTGTCAGATCTTATGGTGTTTGGACAAAAAAGATGTCTCAATTTATTTTATTTTCCAACTCGAACACTCTTTCATTTTTGTGTCACGCTGTGTGCAGCCTCCTCTGCTTTTTGTGTGGCAGGTTTACAGTGAAAGCTGAAGTCTTATTGCTATTCCTTCATCTTTGTTTTGCTCATTTAATATCACTTGAATGTCTACTTGTGGGACAACTAGAGTTTCTTATAGGTTTTAAATAGCAAAAATCTGCAAATATCCCCTTTAAAATTCTTATAACTGCCTATTTTAATAGTTAAAACACCAAACACACCTTAATATGGATTAATGCGCTCAGTGGAAACTGACTTGGCACATAAGCTAACATTTCCTGTCTTCCTTAGGAGTACAGTCAATCAACTGTAAGAAAAACGAGTGGCGCTTTTCAATTGGCTGCGCTGAAAATGCCAGCCAATAGCGTGTTATTTTCATGGAAGTTTTCATGGAAGTTTCCATGAATAATTTGGATTGTTGTTCCATAGAAGAATCGGCAAATTGCTGAATCCACAAATACTGTGAACAGCAAATCGGAAAGTCTTAATTGCTACAGAATATCCAATAATAATAATAATAATAATAATGGTTGGCTAAATATTCAAAATAGACATAGAAAGGACTGAGTTGTTTTTATTCTTAAACGGTAACCAATGTTTCCGTCCTGTTCCTCCGTGTCTCTCTGCAGGTCACCTCTACGTTACCTGCCTCATCCAGAACTGTTCGGACAAAATGCTGACCGCCCAGTTTCTGGGTAGAATCGATCACAATTCGCTGCTGGTGCAAGATGACTACATATTTGTTAAGGTAATTATGACCAATAAAGGATTAATCTATAACAGGACATGTTTTCCATAATACAAATGAAATATTTACCCAGTGGACCTAGTAGTTTCTCATCAATGGTAAGCAAGTGTTGGCTTAAAAAAAAATTAAGTGTACCAAGATGTTTGAACTGGAAACTCGAACAAAAACACTTAGATTTTGTTTTCTCAGTTATATCAGCATTACCTGTGTTGATTTTACTAACAAACTAGTATGAACTTAGCCATCTTTGTTTTAAATAACATCTTTTTAAAAAAGCACGTCCTAAATGCTGATACGACGCGTCAGACAAGACATGCATTTATTTTATTAGTAACTGCGTTTGCCTTCAGAGTTGAGCCTTTAACTTTCAGACAGTTTATTTTTCTAGATAAACTCTTCCTGCCCAGATAACTCTTCATGCACTGCGGTGTGCATAAAATCGAAAAAGAATTGCTATTCTGGGATTGTGTGCTGAATTAATTTCCTCTGTAATAGACTTGCCATGCAGTACAGTATACTAAAGCATGCAAACCCAATAAGTGAATCCCATTTGCATGCGATAACAGGAAGATATACATGTGGTACGGCAGAGCGGAGTCCTTGTAATGAGATGAATTGGTCATATACTGCTGGGTTGTGCTCCGTCTCTGTGTCGCATGTGGACGAATGTGTGTAAATGTGTGTTTGCAGCATTCGCTTTTGTTATTACTTGTTGGAGTGAATGAAATGCCTTGGAGCAGCAACGTCATGTATAGTTATTCTTCAGAAATTCACCCAGTTCTCCCAGTATCACTCACCCACCACAGGGTCAGACGTGGAGCTATGGCGGGGGCCCGGGTCTGGAGGTGCCAGGGAGGGAGGAATGGTTTCAAGTCGCTTAAATGTCTGATTATAGACGAAGAAAGTGCGCCCTCGCCTGTTGAGAAATGTGTATTTAATGTTAAAGTTACTTTCCCTCAATGGAATATATACTAGTCAGTCTCAGTGACTCTCTCACTCACGGTTTAGCCGATGTGCTTCCTGGGTAAAAATCAAACGACAAACGTCAACAGTTTCCAACAGCGCAGGTGATACTCGTCAGGGGCCCGGTGATTTGTTAGGGGCCCGGTAATTGGCCCCGCCCCCGCCCCGTCGCTGACTTGTTCCACTAATGCACAGGGTTATGAGTTATAATCTTAATAACTTTACTTGATAGTCTGGAACCGTTTTCAAATGTTTCCATCTTACCGGTCTGGAAGGAAGTTGAGGATTCCCGCAAATCTGTTCACATTTGACCAAGCAGATCTGATGTTTGGGGTTCCTCAAGGTGCAGTGTTGGGACCTGTGAAGTTCCAAAATAGAAAATATAATAAATAAAACCATGAAAGCAGTTTGTTTCCTTGTAAACATGTGTAGTTTTGACTTGGTATTCCTCAGTCATTACTGTAAACTGTTAGCAGGGCGACTTTAATAAGATATTTAATCTTTTTCATGAAAAAGAGCTTGATTGTATCTGGTTACAAGTTCATTATGGAATCCATTTTGCATCTCTTGCTTTAACCTTCAGAGCTTTGAAGAAACAAACTCCTTTTATGTAAGAACAGTCATGTAATTATGATGCATTGATTAAGGTCAACAAGCCAGAACTCAGTGGTTTCCTTAGTTTTCCTCTTTTCTCTTTTCATGATGCCGTTTGAGTTTTAAAACTTACTGGACATTTTTCTTTTTACACAGAGTTAATTAAATTCTGGAGGTTTCTAATGTTGTTTTTCTGTTTTGTGAATTATTTTTATTGCTTCTAGCCTAACCAAGTTGTGTTACATTTTTACTTTGTGATTCTGTATACGATGTTGCCATATAATTAACAATTACTTTCCTTAATGAACAAAGAAACCAGAGCAACAAAAGAGCCCAAGACGCTTAATTAGCCTCCAGGTTTTTTCACTTGATTAAGTTAAAAAAAAAAAAAAGTTGCATCACAGTTAACATCTGTTTTAGTTACAACACAATATGAATGTAACTCACAGAACAGCCTTTTAATATCAGATATCAATCACAAATATTCATAGGCATGTATGATTCATCATATGAATTATGTGCATTATGTTAGACTCTTAAGAAGTAACTTTAAAAAAGCCCCTGAACTACATTATGTGAATTTTTGTTTGTTCTTCGACTGAACACTTTATCATTATATTATGGAAACACTTGGTTATTTTATCCATAAGTGCCAAATGAATCAAAAGAATTAAAAGAAACCAAGCAACTGACTTAGCCTTCAAAACTTTCCACACTAACATATTTCTAATCCTTTCCACTGGAAACGAAAGTTCAAAAAAATGCCTTAAAACTATCATAAAAGTCAATTTTCAGGTATGAATCAAATCGATGCTGAAAAGCTTCAAAACAGAACAATTTATAGGTTCAAGTCAAATAGTGGAGACTCATAAATGTATGTTCTGTATTAAAATAAAACTTGTAAAAAGTGGAGTTTATGAGAAAAAATATGTGCATTTAACTTAACATGGCTGTCAGTTTTTACAGTACACAGGACGATATGAAAACGGGTTTTCATAATTTTACTATCGTGGCTTATTTTTATCTTCCTGTACAAAATCAAATACAGCAAGAGAAAATACTACTAACCTACTTCTGCTCAGATATAGATCAGTGAAACAGAAATATCCTGTCAAAAGCTGAGAATAAAGTCTAGTTACACTTAATTGTTCCGCTTGTCTTCTGAAATCCCGTCACTGTCTCCTTCCTTTAGCCGATTCTGTTTTAAAAACTTGGTCGGTTTCATCGCTTTTTCTTTTCTTTTCTTTTTTTTTTGTCAAATCGCTCGTTAGCATTTCAACACATCCCCATGCTCGTCTGCTCTTTTCAATCAAAGCCAATGCCTCTCAGCACAGCTCCTAAATGAGCTGACAAAAATTCAGATTTGCTCAAACAAGAGCGGAAAGAAACAGAAATAAATTCCCCTTCTGTAGATGCTTTCAAAAGCATTTAATTATCCATCAGATTCAGAAAGGGTTTTAAAAGATTTACTGTTAGCTAAAAAAAAAAAGACAATAAAAGAAGATGACCGGTGATGTACAAGAAGTGCAGTGGTAGGTGAACCTCTCATGTTAGATTTCCGATGTTCGGCTTCAGTTTGCCGTCAATCTCAGGCTGTTATGAAGCTTCGTCTGCAGCTGCGTTGGTGAAGTCAGGTTCAGCTGGAGGGCAGCGCCACTCGCATTTTTATCCCTTTCTACGTGGAAATCTCTGCAATGTGAGGCAGTTTCTTTGAATTCACCTCACAACATGTGTGAGCCACTAATGATAATAGTGACTCCTGCCTGACCAGTGAGTTGCACAAGGCTGATGTTCACTATCTTCTTTTTTTATTTCCAATGACAGAAAATTACTTTAAAAGTTCAGCCTACACTTACATTTATGTGCTTTTATAGCCATACTATCACTTTTCTTTTTCAAGTTTTACGTTTTCAATCTTGTGGTAAGTTTCCATCTATTGGAACTTGCTGTTAGTAAGCTTTACGGAGTACCTCCACAGAATACCGAGTCTTTTAAAGCCTAACTTTAAAAGAAAGTAAATTAAGAAGGTCCTATGTTATCAGATACAATGTTTCTGGAACTAAATGTCATATTTGTATAGAATATGTAGCAACGTTATGAACTGATGCTTACATTTGGTGTCTTTTTCTCTTTTCGTCTCAACAGGTCACAACAGGTAATCGCACCAAGCACTATGTGTCGTATCGGCGCAATGAGTTCGTCCAGATGAGGTTTCCCAAGTATGCCCTGCCGAAGGTAAAGAGCAGCAAAGCTGAAGTAACTCTCAGCTCTCGTGTCAGTCCATGAGTTTACCTCCGTTACCTCTGGTGTTCCTCAGGGATGACGACTCGTTTTCTATTAAGTCTCTTTGTTAGTACAGACACTAATTGTACTGGAATCTTACTAAGCATATGTACTAAGTTAAATTTCTTTTTGGAATAGACCAGTGGTGCCCAAAGTGGGTCCTCGACAGCCGGCATTCTGCATGTTTCAGTTTTCTCCCTGGAGGTAGTAACAACCTCCTCAGCATGTCATAAACCTTCTAGTGAGCCATCATTCGATCCAGGTGTGTTAAACCAGAGAGAGAACTAAAAGTTGCAGTATGCTGGCCCCTGAGGACCCACTTTGGCCACCACTGGAATAGACAAACGTGGTTGTTATTGGGTCTTACTTGAACATTTTGAACTTTAGAAAGACGCCTGTTACCAGCTGTCTGTTTTGCAACACTAAGGTTGTAAAAACACTTTTCTATTACATATAAAGAGATGCTTTGTGTTTGTGAAGGTCAGAGGACCCCAGGGCGGCTGTGGGTACCATGTATCTCACCGCAATCATTGTGTGAATGGGTGCATGAATGAGTGAATGACTGAATGTGGTGTAAAACATATTGTGGTCTTCTGCACTTACTAAAGCTCCATTTACTATTTATCACATATTTAAACAATCTACCTATTTCATACTTGTTATATATTTCTGAATTCAGAGATTTTCTCTATAGTCTGCGTAGATGTTGGGTAACTGGCCGGGGCCAAAAACTGAAAAATTATTCTTTTGCTAAGGCTTGTGCAGAAGACAGAGAGAGAAATATCCAAACCCTCTGCTCCGGGGATTCCCACCTGCATCTGGAAATCAGTTTCACCACCGTCTTACACAAACTCATCGGCGTTGGGCGTTAGCGTAGCACTTGCCCCTCAAATAAATCACGGCACCGGCCCTACAAATGGCACGCTGCATAAAATATTCACACTCGCACATTGATCCGCCCGTGTGCCTCGTCACTGGCGCGGTCAAAGACGGCAAACGACTTTGTCTTCGGCCCAAGGTCAGACGGGAACCTTTGCTGTCAGCCGGAGCGGCACAGGGGGCTTTTTTAAGGCAACACCAGTCAGAGTGCTATTGACCTATGCTGATGACATGCAGAGCCCGGAGGGGGGGCTTCATGTGTTTTTCAGCGTTTAGAATCGTCCCTTTTAATTGACGGTCTGTCAGAGGAGACTCCTCGGAGTCGGTCGTCGTATAGAGTCGCCTTCGTTCGACTCCAGCTCCCCGTCTTACAACGTCCCTGTGGTTTGGCTGCCGTCTCTGCAGCACTCACTGATCCTTAAAGAAGGTGAAAGGGATTGAATTGCGCATACACAATCCTTTTTGCCTTCAAGCACCTATGCGCGCGCACACACACACACACACACACACACACACAACAAAAACATAAAATTTGATTAGGTGTAGATGGGAGGCGGTGGATAAATCACTTTATGCATGAGCGTCGGCATACGGACGCGTGTGTGAGAGTGTGTGTTTAGTCAAAACATGCCCTAGTTGCTCCCTGTTCCTCGTCTCGCCTCTCTCCGCATGTGTCCTCTTACTTGGGTGAGCAGATAGGTCACAGTTTGCAAAGCTTTTAGGTAGAGCGACATGGGGTAAGGTGTTGGCAGTGACACGGGGCCCTGAGGAGAGATATTGAAGGAAGGAGATTAGGAGAAAGTGTGTGTGTGTGTGTGTGTGTGTGTGTGTGTGTGTGTGTGTGTGTGTGTGTTTCTGTAAGGGGTGGGGCAGTGTTTTGCTGTTTTTCTGCTGTGAATAATTGAAAAGCTCGGGGAATGAAAAAAAAATGCAGAGGCCATCAAAGAAAGCTGTTTGGTTCTGTCCTGTGAGACCTGACCCGAGTTATGGATTAACCCCACACCCACACCCCCACCCACGCACCCACGCACACACACACACACACACGCCAACATGCGCGCTTACGCATAGGCACATGCACCGAGTTTGTTGGGCTGTAAAATCACAGGTAATAATTGTCCTTTTTTCTGCTTGGCTTCCAATCTCTTCTTTGGATGGCCAACCTTTTCTGTTTTTGTTGTTGTTTGTTTTTTTTCTCACGGTTTGTTTATCCAGGAGCAATCAGAAACCTGAGGCGGAGCTGGAACAGTAGAAAACAGGTTTAATATTTCACTAGTTGCATTTAGAAGGTTGTTCCCACTGATCAGTCCTGATAAATTGTCTTGGTGCTGAAAGGTCTTTTTCCAAGGTGGTTGGACAACACAGAATGTTACTGATTCACACCAGGACAGACTTTTGGTCCGCTTGGTTGGTCCGGACCAAAAGTGGACGTTTTTTTGTTTGTTTGTTGCTTTTCGGTTTGTCGATCATTGCTCCCATTGGACGGAAACGATGGGGGCGGGACAGAGCACAGACCCCAAGAACCAAACTTTGGAAGTTCTGCTTGCTGCATTATTTCTGTTCCTGCGACACCATTTTGAACGTCGAGAGCAACTCAAGCTTCACGATTTGATGTTTCTAATTTTGGAACAACATCTGCAAATCGGTGCTGAAACCCGAATGAGGAGAGATGATCTGAGCTCCTGGCGTCTCCTTATAATCATTCGGCTTTAATTCCATCACACCGATCCAGAAATAAAAAGCCACCATAAAAATAAAAATCTAATTCATTCCCTTAATTTAACTGTAATCATTTACCAGATTTCCATAAAAGCAAAATGTAAACTTACTTTATTAGATTAAAAGCCTCCAAACTATTACTACTCTGTAACTAGCACTGATGGCATCCTGACATTCAGTTTATTCACTTAACTGTTTCATTCCTGACACCAAAAAAAAAAAAAGTTTATTTTGAAACAAATAAATAGATAAGCTGATTTTGTTAGAGATTGTGATTTAATGATATTTTAGAATAATTGTGGATTTATTCTGGAATGCAGCGAGGGGGAAAAAAAAAACAACAACTTTTAAAGGTCAGTGATTTTTTGATAAAACCAAGCAAGACAGGGGAACCTTTAGGCTGCATATGAAATAGCTTTTTCAACTATAAAATGCGTCACAATAAAAAAAAAAAGAAAAAGAAAAAGAAAAGTCAGAGTTTCATTTCGAGAAAGAAAGTAGAGTGAATGGATTGTCGCCGTCCATCCGGCTGTGACAGCTGATTGGCTGCGAGGTGGTGTGTGCGTGTGTGTGTGTGTGTGTGTGTGTGTGTGTGTGTGTGTGTGTGTGTGTGTGTGCTGTCAAATCTCAGACAATCGTTCCGGTGCGAATTGTTGTGATGATGCGGACCAGTAAGCTGTGAGACTGGGAGCCCAGAACTAAACCCAGATGTTCCTGCTGAGGCACTAATCCTGACCACTGATCACAGACTGAGCCTTGCTGCAGAGAACCTGAGAAACTGTTTGACTGAAATAGTGAGCAGAGGACAGATTTAGGATTTAAATGGTTTATTTAACCAAAACTGCAATGTTACATTTAACATTGACATGGGCAGACAGACAGACAGATAAGGGTCTTCCTTATTTCTGCTTCTGGGGCTTCAGCCAATCAGTGCCAAGGAAGATAAATGGTGCTCCTTGATTGGCTGCTTTACAAACACCAGCCAATGGCACATCAACTAGCATTGTGCCAAGATATTTCAGATTCCTGAGCTTCATTTTCTTTCAAACATTTTCTTTTAGATAAGCTCTAAGAAAAAACAAAAAAAAAACAGAAATAAGCCAAATTTTTGCGAATAGATGAATTTGCTAAAACTGAGTCGCAAATAGGGAAATAGGCTGGAGTTCATTGTAACGCATGTTGAAGTTATGAATCAATTAATATGTTGCAGAAAGCAATACAGCAGAATACATAGAAATATAAAAAGCCAAAATCGTCCTTTTGTAATATATTTTCAAGTCCAACAGTTATGTTTGACATAAAAACTACAAACCTAAACGTCATACCTCCAATGAAACATGACGGTGGCAGCATCATGATCTCAGATGACTTTTCTTTAGATGACATTAGATGTGTTGCAATAACATATTTTGCTGGACGATAAATTGTCCCGGAAATTATTGCGATAAATGATAACATTGTTGTTTTGAAAACATTTTCAACTAATATAACAATGAAGGCAGAATAATGCAATTATACATTCTGAAAGATTAGTAAATTTTACTCTAAGAGAACATTTAACTCTGGTACTTGATCTAAAATAAAGAAGCAAGACAACCGAAACAACGAACAATAAAAATGGATCATAAAGTCTCAGCAAAACAAATCATGCAAAACTGCCAGTTAGGACTTTTGTAAAAATAAAAAAATGATGAGAATAATAATAAAAATGCAAACTAACTACATTATGCTGTGTGTGAAATGTAATCAGCATGTTTCAAAGTGACAGCTTTTCAATAATAATAATAATAATAGTTAACTGCATAAGAATACAAATGAAAACAATTAGATTGTGATTAATTGATTTATTGCTTATTGTGATGAAAGCAGACTTACTTTCAGATGAATAAAACTCTGAACAGTTCGAAATATTACTCAGTTTGACACGACAACCTTAACATGAGCTCAACAGTGCAGACCTATAATAGAGGTAAAGTGTCTGCAGGTTTGCTTATTTCCTGTAATGTTCCCTCTGACAGATTTTTTCTGTTTTTCAGTCAAACTTCCTCATTAAAAGTGTAGTAATTTTTTGAAACAATGTATCATGGTGTCATTTTTTTAATGCTTGCAGTTCTTTTACATAGCTACAGCCTGAGACACGAGTCAGCAAACTAATGAAGGATTGCTGCGTCACACTGACACAAGTCTCAGCTTTACGCTGTTGAACGTCAGCATGGAGCTACAGCAGAAAGAAAAGTAATTTCAATAACTTTCTGGCATCAAGATATTACATTCCCAAACAATTTCTACAGCTTATATTCACATAGATCCGCATCAACCTCGTGGGTTTATATGCGTGTGTTTCCTTTGCTCCGTCACCTCCACCGAGTCTTTTTAGTGGCGGATTACGTCGCCTCCTCTGCGGTGCGGTGGGCGGCGCGGCTGACTGAATGTCAAAAGGCAGCCGGAGCTGCGGGTCGGTGTCCCTTTCAGCGCCGCCTCCACCTGCTGCCGCTCTGCGCCGCTGAATGAGACAGGATGTCAGCCGTAAACCGCGGTGAAGCGGCGTTTAATGAAGAACGGGGAAGAGGAGGTCATGGGGGGTGGGAGGGGGAGGGAGATGCATCAAACACAGCGGCTTATTACATAACCCATAGATTTTTATTCCTAAAATAATATACACCAAAGTCCTTATGGGTTTTCATAGGAACTCACTATTTTATTTGAGTGTTATATATTTACTATGAAGTCAATTATGTCTTTTAATCCAACTGTTTCTTTCCCTATCCAATGGTTAACAGTTTAAAGGGGTGGGATTATGTAAAATCAACTTTTTTGAGCTTTATATTATATTTTTATACCCTCATCAAAAACATACCTGGAGACTTGCTTTGATCCTTTTATGCATGTTTGAGAAACCCTTTGATCTCCCATGGCAACCATTCAGCTCCATAACTCCTGGGTGGATCTAGTGCAGACTCCAAGTTTCAGATCGCCCGTCCCCCCAGTCAGCTCCTTCAGACTAGCCAGCAGCATTTAGCAGTCTGGACTTTAGGTTCTTTTCTCAACAGAGTCAGATACCTACTCCTATGTTTTTGCAACGTTATTTCTCGTTTAGTGTTATCTATGCTGGATGCATTGTAGGCTTATTAAATGTGCCTCAGAAACCCAGGTCCAATCCGACTGTCTAGAAAAAATAAATTTGGCCCAATATAGCCTGAAGTTCAGTTCCTGTCAGCCTCAGATGGTAAATCTGAGCTTTAATTCAGAGGAGTAAAAACTGTACGGCCGCTGGTTTCCTGGCCATGTTGAGTGTAACTGCATCTGGACGTGTATGAACCACTGCATTAAAGCAAAGTAGAAATAATCCATTTCGTTATTACATTAAATTTCATGTCTGTTTACTGATTTACTCTCCAAGTTGAGTCGAGAACAAATTTTCTGGGACGTGTGACTGACGGGAGCGGAACAGGGCGGGGGCGCACTTACGTTTATTCAGCACTTAAAATGGTTAAAAATGCCTAAAGTCAATTCATATCCTCCTCATGAATCCTTTGTCTAATCAGTGAACAGTCCCAAATAAGCATCACAACCATAATCAATGTGTACAGAGTTTATACCGGCGTTGGGTTGGGATCAGAACACTTCCATGAATTCTTTGGGTTCAACATTAACGCCTCTTTACGCTGATCGTTTTCCTCAGTTTGCTCGTTTTGTCATAATCCCGTCGCGCGCAATTTGCAACAAAGCCGGCTAATTGAATCAGAAACGTTATGTTCATGAATATGAAGATGGATGCACGGCCCCCTTTTTTTTGTATTTCCGTCACTCGAAACGACAAATAAATCCAGAGGTAATTGAGCCTGAGTGTGTCTTTATAATCAAGATGGAAGAGTGTTAATGATTGCACACACCCTCGGAGGTGCTTCCCTCCACACGCTGGTGGTTTTGTCTTCAGATGGTATGGTAATGTAATCAGTAACACAGAGAAAGTGCTGAGTCGCCCTTGTGTGGCTGCTACATTATTTCATGAGTGATGAAGCCGTTTTCCTCACAGTCCCAGGAGCACCGACAAGTACACTTAGCAAGTTTGCTCTAGCTGCCAAATGGTTGTTGCTTTTTTTTTATTTTTTTTTTTTACATTTTGAAGCGCTTCACTGGGTGTTTGTTTTCTTTCAAATCCTCTTGCTGACACTGGTTCTGTTTTTATTGGATTGAGTTATTTGCTTTTCTTTGTGTATTTTCTTTTCGGCTTTTCATTTTTCTTACTACAATAAGTTTTTTTTTTTAAAGTTTTGTATTAATACGAGTTACAACAACATTTATTTTCCCTTTGGAATCAATCTGAATTTTATTTAAAGGGGCGGTATTACGTAAAATTGACTTTACATAATAATTATTCTCTCAAAAACATACCTGGAGTGTTGCCTTGATTCTTTCGTGCTTGTTTGAGAAATCCTTTCATCTCCAGTGGCAACCACTCAGCTGTGCAAAACGCCCAGGTGGACTTAGCCCCGCCTTCTTGGCGCAGCTCCTCCTCGTTTCCTCCTGCTCAGCTCCTTCAAACTAGCTAGCACCATTAGCAAACACCTGGTAGAACATCAGCTGAGCTCATTATAGGAGCTGCTTCTCAGTACAACGCTGGTGAAAATGTTGTTAAAAGGTTAATAAAGGAGCCATGTTGTGACAACTTCCTGAAGGTGAAGTTTCAGAAAGAGCAGAAGTTTCTTAAAGAGACAGAGGCCCAATTTTAAGGCGTTAAATTCCATCCTTATATTCTTTTAAGTCATATTTGATATCTGTAGCATTTTTGCTGAAAGTAACTTGATTGTGCTATGAAACAGCACTACAACACATAAAACTGCCACTTCAACTTTTTTGTGTTAGAGTCAGAGTTCCACCTGTGACTTATTGCGTAAAGTTGTGGTCATAGTTTCAGGTTTTTTTTTGTTTTTTTTTATTATATATATATACAGGATTTGCAAACCAAATGGACAAAAATGTGTAAAAAAACACACAATTCTTCAGGGCACCAAATTCAGTCAGGGTGTCCAGCAGGATATGGATCAGAACCTCGTAGGTCAAACCAGTATTACACGGTTTTGGAGGCGTACAGCAGAGTTCACATCCAGCTGACCCCTTCACTACCGCCGTACTACCGAGCAATCGCTTCTGTTATTGCTTGGATTGTCTACATTGTTGGAGGGCAATATTAGAGAGAGTGTCTTTTTCCAAATTGTTGTGGCACAACACTTTGTCCAGAGTAGAAGTTTTTAACCTGGGGTTATTACGTCGATTTAAAAAAAAAAAGTATCTCTTCTCACCCGTTTCCTGCTCTCTCCCTTCCTACCTCCTGCAGGACGTTCAGATAGTGAGCACAGACGAGAGCCAGGTGTTCCTGGCCCTCCAGGAGTGGTACCAGTCCGACACGTACAACCTGTACCAGTCGGACTCGCAGGGCGTCTACTACTCCCTGATCCTGGAGAACGTCCGCAGCACCAAGCAGCCGGAGGAGAGCGTCCTCATCGACATCCTGGAGGTGAGGCGCTCCGTAACAAATGACAAATGTGTTCTGTTTTTTTTTTTCCTCCTCCAATTTTCTTCTTTAATTAATTAATTTAGTGATTAAATCTATAACTTGCAACTATGAACACAAATGAAGCCAGATCTTCCACTGGCGGGGAATCGGTGGAAACGAGGTGACGGCGTTCCCGAGTCCTAAGCAACAAAATGAGCATCTGATGATGTTATAAGTAAACGAACCACTTAGTCACACTTAAGGGGATAATGCTTACACTTCCCTTCATTAATCTTACTATCAGTAAATCCCATTAAAAGCCCGGAGCCACTACTGTGCTACTTGGTCTCATTGGGATTTATCTATTGTAGGAGAAGCTTTCAGACCCTTTTTTAGGGGGGGATTTTCTAGTAAAATGTAACATTCTTTTGTTTCCTGAATCTATCTTTAGTGTGTTACTCAAAAAGTAGGTGGAACTCTATGATTTTTTTTATTTTTATTATGGCCTGGTTCTGGTGTTCCTCAAACTTTTTCAGAGTTAGGATTTATCTATTGTAGATAAATCCAAACACTCACAGACCACCTAATTCACATGTGCCAAACTCGAGGCCTGGGGGCCAAATCTGGCCCGAAACATTGAGTTTACCTGACTGCTGCCTCAGCCTTACTTGATGTCAAGTTGTAGGCTGTGATGGATACGGCACATTTAGCATCATACATTAACGCAAATATTGTAAAAGTTGCTTCCAAATATTCCCAAATTAGCACCACAGAATCTGGGATTTTGATTGCAAAAAACCCCACAAAAACAGACAGAATTGAGAAAAGAAAACAATAATAAACTGACTATGGACGAGCCAATTTCTGAAATTTTTAGATTCATTTCACACAGAAAAAGCTTGGATGTTGTCGGCTCCTGAAAAGTAGAATATTCGCAAGAATAAATGTAACATTTTCCATCATTAAAGGCATAAATTTACAATATTAACATTAGGATATTCACTGCAGTTGTAAAGTGGTACACATATAAGAATAAGTGTGTTTTATTACACTCTGGCAGAGCAACTGGGAGGCATCCCAATGAAATGACCGAACAACCGTAAATCTCTGAGTGAACGGCCAAATGCTCGCTCTCATAGCACTCACCGGCTTTAATATCTGACTTATTGTTTTGTCCTCGTTTGTCTTGAGAGGCAGTATTAATAAACGGTTCGGGCAGCTTAAAATGTTTTTCCACTTTTTGATCACACTAGAAATATCAGCTAATCATCAAAGGAGTGCCACAAAAAAAAAGCAAAGTTTTACAGGGGTCTCTGCTGAAGCTAGTTGCCATTTATGTAGAAGTTCAGGGTCTTTATGTTATTACCAGCATCTCCTCACATGCCTGCTTAACGGTAGCTAAGAAGCTGTTGTCAAGGACAGAATATTTGTAACATGCTAGGCATTGATAGCCAACGTCAATCAGTTCCAATTATGCAACAAATTGGTTGAATACAGGCAATTTGGCCAATGCTGCACCAATGTTTTTCCACTGCTAATAGCTAGCTGTGCTGCATTGTTGATGCCAACTTGTATTAAGCTTCATTTGTTATATCTGTAGTATATACAATATATTTGTAGCAGCAGTAGAAATATATGTAATATTACTCTTATGTTTACAGATAAGCTTGTTTAATCCTTTTCTTTACTACCCGTTAATCTAAACTATGTTTTTGTTTTTTGGTTCTAGTGGCCTTTATTTGAAAGTGCTAAGACAGAAAAGTAGGTAAAGAGGGAGAGAGAGAAGACATGTGGCAAAGATCACCAGGCCAGGAATTGAACCTGTGACTGCCACGTCGAGGACTAAGGCCTCTTTATGTGGATTGTGCTTAACCCCTGCGCCACCACAGCACCCCAACCTAAACTATCTTTTCCTTAAATGGTGTTTAAAGAGACAGAGAGGCATCGTCACGGCGCTTAGCAGATGGAATCCCAGATGTTTCAGCTTGTAGCACATCTGCTTTGTTTCCTAGGTGCGTGGGGTGAAAGGCGTCTTCCTTGCCAATCAGAAAATCGATGGAAAAGTGACGACTCTCATCACCTTCAACAAGGGGCGGACCTGGGAGTCCCTGGCCCCGCCCACCACGGACATGAATGGCAAACCAGTCAGGTGCAAAGTAGTAAGTGCTCCATTTTTCATCTTTACCAAACTGCAACACAAGTCACAAGTATGACTAAAACCAAAGCTTTTATGGTTTTAAAGTTGATAAACTCTTGACGGCAATGAATCAACTCATGTTAAGGGCAAACATCCCAAAGTTATCCAACCATATTTAGGGGCTTTTTGAAGTTTTATTGTGTGTGGGGTTTTTTTTCGTATGGTTTTGCTGATACTCTAGGTATGTTAGCTAAATGAATGACACACGACAAGGCTTCACATTGTCACCGATACCCGATCTAGAATTTTCTTATTTTAACATCGGGGCATATACAGATATCGATAACGGATCGTTCCGTCTCTGCGTTGAACATAAAGGGGAAAAGGACGAGTGCTGTGGTATGAGGAATGCACACCAGATTCTTGTCAAAGTCGCAGCTTCGCAAGGTTAGACAGCAGAGAGCCATACGTCTCCCCCCAAACCCCGCCCGTATTCTGAGCTCCATACATCACACCCGGCCGGGAGGCAGAGGGGAGCACCAGTGTTCTCCTTTATTTGAACCATCGCTCCCATCTGCTAAAAAAAAATATGAAGACAGGTGCAGATATGAGCCTGACGCTTGTGTACCACCTTTAAGACATGTATACACACGAACACACACACACACACACACACACACACACACACACACACACACACACACACACACACACACACACACACAGCCGTTAGATCTCTGATACTGACCTTGTCATAACAATGGGCTCTCCCCATACTTCAAAAAAAATTGCTTGGCAAAATATCTGCTGTCCTGGATTTAAGTCGCCACATCTATCAAGCACGGAGAAGACTTCATTTTCAGGCGCTGACACAACACATATTGTCTGTGTGACGCCGTGGGGCACGGCGCCCCCCAGCCCACGCAGCAGGTGAAGGGGGGAAGATGTGGCGGTGCGTCAAGAGAAAAACTGTAAGGCTCGATCTTCTGTCTCCCACCTGTTGGAGATCAGCTCCGGAGATTAATGAGCTTTCAGCGTGAGGATGGTTAATCTTACTGCCTGTAGAAGGAAATCCAGATGGTGAAAATATCGCTAAGCGCAACCTAGCATAAAGACGAGCTAATGCTAACGGTTTCCCTGAGGCTGAGGTCAACAAAGCTACAATCTTTTCCTTTTTACGGCAGAATCGCCCAGCGAAGATGTCCGTCTTTGCTGAAATTTGATGGTCTGCAGATGAAATGTTGAAGTTTACAGTATGCTAACTTACCGTCCTTCCTGTTGCTCCGCTGCAGCCGGATTGCCACCTCCACCTCCACCTGCGCTGGGCCGACAATCCCTACGTCTCTGGCACCGTCCACACTAAAGACTCGGCTCCGGGCCTCATCATGGGCGCTGGTGAGTGGAACCGTCTCTTTTCACATTAAAACTGCTTTTTTTTTTTTTCTTTTAAATTTATAAGCCTATCTTCCCCTGATTTAAAAAAAAAAAACAAAAACTCTTACTCAAACGACTGGAAAAACAGACGGAAATTTAAATGGAATTTTTAGAACGTGGGTTTCTGTCAATTTTCAAGATACAACCTGAAAGTAGTGCGCATTTGTTGGGAAGATAACTAAATGAATAAAAATGGCCTGAGGTAGAAATCCTGCTGTATTGCTCTGTGTGGCAGCTCTCTGTAGACCTGCCTCTCTCAGCCCTGTTGCTCGTTTGCCTCCTCTCTCTTCTCTGACTTTTTCTGTTGTGTGTTTCGGGAGTCCCCTCTTCCTGATGCAGCTCTGCATTTTTCATCTTTCCCTCAGGTAACCTTGGCTCCAAACTTGTAGAGTATAAGGAGGAGATGTACATCACTTCAGACTGTGGGAAGACTTGGAGACAGGTACAGCATGCTTTGACTGATTTTCTTTTTCTTTTTCTTTTTTTTTTTTTTTTTACTCCAAGGAAAAACCTGGAGATAGAATATCCAATTTCTAACCAAGGTTTCTTTTAAACCAAAAAAAAAAAATTGTGCTTTATGAAGCTGATCATGAGAAAAACACTGAATTGTTCCCATTGGTAAAGTAATTTCCAATCCTTAATGTTTTCCTGTTAAAGGTGTTTGAGGAGGAGCATCACATCCTGTACCTGGACCACGGTGGAGTCATTGTTGCCATCAAGGACACGTCTATTCCCCTCAAGATACTGAAGTAAGATTACACCAACTCTTTACTACCTCTTATTTACTGTTTTAGCTTCATTACAAACTGCCAGTGGTGCGCACACTTCCCCTAAATTGCTAGTAGCGGAGCTAAGTTTAGCGCTTTAGCCTATTTGCTAAATTTGGAAACACTTAGCGCACTTAGCTTCTCATAAGCTAATGACTTTAATAAACATGGACATGTGTGTTGAAGTTTGACTTTTAAACTTTAACACAGATGTGAAGTTTACATTTATATTCACGCTTTTATTTTGAAGTGGTTGAAGCATGTCCTTTTCCTCCCCTTAGGCCTGCTTTCTTTTTCTCTCCCCCAAATAAATGGCAAGAAAATTAAACATGAACAAAAGAAGATATGAACTTGAGAATACAATATTCAAGAGCATTATGGAACATGTAAAGTATATCGTCAGAAATAATTGGTGCTTTTGAGGGTTGTGGTCTTTCAAAGACAAGTATAGTTTGAATTGAAGTTAGCGCTTTGGCATTAGAATTAGCTTCCGCTGTCTACCGTGTAGGTGTTGCTGTAGTTAGCGGAGCTGCTGATTAGTGCTTCACGGTTAGCATTAGCGGTGACCCCCCGCCACCACTGGTACATGCCTTCTCCTTTAAGTATTTAAAAACTAATCAGATTTCTGCTAAGCTAATGCAGCGCTACAGTCTTGGAATCCATTGAAGACAGTCACCCTTTCTCACACAGGCTATCACAAGCTTAACAGGATGCTATCTCTTTGGCCTAAAATAGGAATGTTATGATGAAAACCCAAAGCAGAGATGTAATCAGAAGTGTGTGGCTCAGCTCTAATTCAGACGATGGACTCAGTCTTTCACCTGACCTCTGAAGGCGTTTCTGTTTCTAAACGAGTTGAGAAAGAAAGATTTCACCCAGAGAGAAACCTCAAATATTAGTCAAATAATCCTGATTGATGACATAATATGACATAGCACAAAAAAAACAAGCTGTTGGTTTTATATTTCTGGCCTCAGAAAATCTGTGTGTTCTTGTGTAACGGCTCTGTTAAAGAGCTTCTGGATGAGGATAAAAAAAAAAAAAACAGCTAATCATGGAATGCAGATTTTTTTTTTTCCCAGGGTTTTTCAAACTGATTTATTGCATCTATTTTAAGCTGAAACTATTTCGCAGTCTCAGTAAAGTGGATCATTTGTTATTGCTGCAACTCCAACTGGCGCGCACTCCCGGTGTCAGCGATCGTTTTGCAGCCCATCTAAAGGCGTTTTCCACGCTCCGAGGCCTCCCAGGTTCCCTCCGACGTGACGGATTTCTGTTTTGCAGGCTGATGTGGTTTTAATGTGGTGAGATGTAGCGTTATTTGGGAAACTAGCTGTGTGCCATTAACTTAATTTTGGTTAATTACCGTGAATGATTTCTGCTTTAGTACCAGAGATTAAGATGCTGATTGTTACAATGTTTTAAACTTTTCCTAAATCTTGAAAGCTGTGTCATTTTGTGTGGCTAATTCAAACGGCAGCAAATCTAAACTGTGCATATTAATACACACACATATAAACTTGTTATGTGCTTTAGAAAAGCTTGATGTACACTTATCTGATACTTTATTAGGTACACCTCTCTTGTTGGACCCGACCTTCAGAATCACCCTAATTCTTCAAGGTCGCTGAACAAGAGGCGGACACTGCAACTAAAAAGTTAGTTGTGCTAACGCTAAAGCACTAAACAATAGCTCCAAGAATGCAAAAGCACAACACTTTGACCCTAAAGCACTAATTATAAACATTAGTTCTGCTAATGCTACATCACTACACCCAACAGGGTTTAGTGGAAGCTAAAGCGTTAAGCGGTGGCATTAAATCAAATTATATCTGCCCTTCAAAGACTACGATGTATGTACGTTTCTTCTCTACTGTCTGTGCTTTATTTTATTTTTGGATGTAATTTAAAATAACCTTATTTGGTGGCGTAAACCGCTACCTGTCTGAAGACTTCTTCAGCCGGTAACCAAAACTTCAACACAGATGTCGATGTTATTCAACTGACAGATTACAAAGCAGCCACGTAAATTAGCTCTGCAAATATATGTGGAAAAGTTAATTTAGGGGATGCTGAGTGTGCTAAATGTTTTCAGAGCTGACTAGAGGGCTAATTGAAAAATTAGCTCCAAAATTAGCGGATTAGCAGAAGTGAGCCCATCACTACAACACCACCAGCCTGGATCTCACCTGATTTTATTTATTTATTTATTTATTTATTTATTTATTTATTTATTTATTTATTTTTGCATAATTCAGGTGAGATCCATGTTCTCCATCAAATTCTGATCCTATTATCTCACTGGACCAGCAATTGTTTTTCCAGTCTATTATTGTCCAATTTTAGTGAGCCTGTATGAAATGTTGCCATGTTTGTTTTTGTTGCTGCTGTTCTATCTCTGCATAATTTTTTTTTATGTCGTTTTTATCTCATCACCCCACGTTCCCCAAATTACATCACAATTTATGGTTGTTTTACCGAGAGATGTCGAAATGGAATCAACGTTGTAGCATGAAGCCGTCTATAAGATCAGTGTGCAATGATGTACGGAGCTGCTAGCTAGTTAATAAACTGCCATGTTTGAGCTAATAAGTGATTCTTGCCCAGCGGATGATCAATGATTTGAAGTCAAATCAAGACCTGACAATGCAAGAAACATTTCTTAGGTTGCTGTTTTCTGTTTGATCTGACAGAATTTGTACTTTAAACAAAGTTGCAAGAGCAAGAGCTTCTCTGATCTCATCAGTATCCGACTGATCTTTCCCAGAGTTTAAGTTAAAGGCTCGCCCATCAAAGCCTCGTGATTACGTAACATTTTTCTTAATTCGTCTTTGGGATCACTGTGTCTCTCTCTCTCTCTGTTTCTCTCTCCGAAGGAAGATAGAAGCAGAACGAAAACAAAAAGCGCTTTGGTAATTCCAAACTAATTTCCGTCATCCGTACACCTGAGCGGTAATTCCAACAATTACAAAGCCCTCAGATTCAGCGCCCAACAGGTTGTGTTGACAGAAAAGAGACCTCCAACGTTGTTAGATTCAGCTGTTCTTTGATGCATAATGAGGCTTTGCGGCTGCATCCTCAGTAGCTGTGTTGATCTGTGCTGTCTTCCCCCCTCGCTGTGCGCGTTCACTGCTGATTATCTTATTGTCGTCCCGGTAAGAGCGTCATTAAAACACACTGCCGTGTTGTGTGAGCGAGACACTGCTTGATTCCTCATTGATCCCTCTCCATCACGCAGTCACACTTACTCAGCGCTACTGCCACTGTCGACAGCTGAAATTGTTGGCACGGTGACTAAAGGAGAGCAGATGGCTCTTCTTGTTTTATTTTACAAAAAAAAAAAAAAAGGAATTTAATAGCAAACTGGGTTCGCCTGCCTGCACAGCCGTGTTCTGATATTATATTATGTATTTTCTAAACCCTCAATCGTATTCAGTCAACTAGAGTCAAAATCAAGGAAAGGAAAACATTTTTTTCAAACTATGAGGACTTTTCTGAATTTTCATACATAGAATATGCATTTACTCAACCTTTCTTCTGTCTCCATGTAACCCTATCTTCTACGTCTTCTCTCTCACAAGCTACCTTCCTTTCCTCTTTCACTCCATCCTCAAATCTCCTCTTTGGTCTTCCTGTTGGTCTCCCTCCATCCTCAGCATCCTTCTACTCTCCTCTGTTCATGTCCAAACCATCTCAGCTTGGTTTCTCTCACCTTATCTCCCCACACATCTGACATGAGTCATTCCTCTGATGCATTCATTCCTGACCTTGTCCATCTTTGTCACTCCCAAAGAGACCCTTTGAGAACCGTGTACACAACCTAATCGTGCTAATATCCTGTGTTTTTAAAGAATACTTTGAACTTCTTGGTCATCATCACTACATCAGAGTGCACTTTATGAATATTGAATAGAACAGAAACTTTATCCATCGCCACATGGACAACAACGTTAAGCAGTTAAGGACTGATTAAAATGCAGCTTTAGTCTTTTGATATTTCCAGTCGTCACGAATGAACACTTTGCATGATAATCAGATATTCATCCTGTTGGATGGAGTCTCACTGCAGTGGCTAAGATAATAAGGCATTGTTTCAACTGAGCGTTGAACCACAGTTCGATGTCATTTGGTGCATTATTTTTTTATATTTCCGTTGTAAAAGCCACAACATTCAGGTCAGCGGTTCGCAGTCCATTGACTGATGGACTGAAAAACGTTGCTGCTTGTTACAAAGATGAGACATAAAGTTAGACGTTCGGGTCTAACCACAACCGTCTAACGTCCGACTTTTGGTGGAAACGTTCCAAGACTACTACGGGCCATAAAGTAGCTTACCGAACCACAGTGACCCATGCCGTACCGCTCTATGGGAACGAGGCATGACTGACTGAGTTTTGGTTGGGATAATAGTACTATCCAATTTCCCAATGTTGTACAGTCCTACTCTTAAGTGGTATATTTAATATTGACTAAAGTTAAAGTGAGCTAATTTCTTTTCTCAGGGATCATTCAAGCTGAACATGCAGCAAAACACGACAACTTGCTTACCACAGTAAGACGGTATGAAGATTCAGCTCTCGGTTTGCTGTGGTGGATTTTAGCGCCCAGTTTTAATGTTTTAGAGTTTAATGCAAAGCGTAATTTGGAAATCATTGCGAGCCACTAATTATCTGCCTCTTGATAACAAGCAGAACTACACAGTGGGGAAAATTAATCACCAGCCTGGTTTTTAAAGGTAGTGAAGGTTATTGAGGAACTCAAAGGGCCTTGGTCGCCATCATTACAGTACAAACCAGGTACTATACTAAAATAAACGTGTAAAACTCTGTAAGTGTTTAGTAATATGACTTGAAATATCATTTTTCTTAGAGAAATAACACCAAATGCTTTTAAATTGCCATGATGAAATGTGCTGACACCTGATTGAACGGTCTTTTCTTGGCTCTCCTCTATTACCAGAGCAGAAATGAAACATTAATGGTTCACTGGTCCAAGAAGCCCCTGAAATACGAGTTTGGTTTTCATCCAGAGTTTTGGGTGGAGATTTGCACCTGATAAAAGATCCCTGTGTAATTTCCTGTACCTCGCTTTCTCTGGGACTTTTAAGTTTTGATTCAACCGTTTTTCACTTTGGAGATTTTTGATACGGGGAACTTTTAGCACTTCTCTTGTCCAAGTTTCTGTAGGTCAAACATTTTCTGAAGTCAGCTGTTCTGATGCAGAACGGATTGCATTGGTTGTAGGAGGAGAGAGTGATTTAAGTTCATTTGAACTCTTCTTTTTTCCAGTAAGTCCATCAGGCATCGTGTCAAATAATGTGAACTAAAGCTGAAGTTAAAAGATTTTTTTACTTTTTTGTAACAAATCTGAATAGAATATGAAATATTTGCCTTTTTTATCTCTACTATTTAACGTTTTTTTTTTTCTGTTGTACAAGTTGGAAAGAAATAGTTGCAACGGCTTTTCATTTTTCTTCAAAACGATTTTTGGCACAGGTATGTGCTTTCCGAAGCCAACAAAAGCGTGTTAGTCATGTTTCTTAATAAAAAAGTTAAACTTTTTTTGATATGGGCTAATGCTTTTCTTTTCTCAGGTTCAGCATTGATGAAGGCAGAACCTGGAACATTCACAACTTCACCAGCACATCTGTGTTCGTGGACGGACTCCTGAGTGAACCAGGAGACGAAACTCTGGTCATGACGTGAGTTAATAAACTATTCCCCCAAAAGTACAAATAAAAACTAAATCTGGTTGAGAGCCTGTTACTGGGAGACACTTACCAATCTGGAACAAACTTGGTTTGACTAAGTTTGACAAGTTCTTGGTTGTTCTTCCAACACAATGGAGTATTTCCTCTGCATAGATAAAACATGCGGTTTTCCATGTGTAGCTCTCCCTTTTTCAATCATATTCTCTTTTATTTTGCAGGATCATTGCATAATTTACAGCATATGCCAACTTACCTCAGCTGGTTTTGAAGGAAAAAAAAAACATTGATTCCCTTTTTTTCTTTTTTTTAAAGCTCGGTTCTCTGCAGTCTGGGAGTTGGGCGACATGTCTTCTTTACAGAAAGAGGCAGAGGTGCATTTCTCAGAGCTCTTGAAAAACATTATGCTAAAAGGTTATTATGAAGTTCTTTTCACAGCAATGCCAAGCGCTGTCTGCCCGAGCTCTCCTCACACTTTCTGCTCTCTGCTCGTTTCTAATGAGTTATCTGACAGAACCTTCCAGGCTGCAAACTGTGCTTGAGGAGGGGGCTCAAGTTACTCTTCCATCACAGCGATTCTTGCGCGATTTGTTGGAGCGGGTCAAGCAATTTCGTGGTGCTAACCGCAGCTGCTCTCGCACCCGATTTCCCTCAAAGCCCCCCTCCTCTGTCTTGACCTCTAAATTGCCATTACAGTGGAGGTGGAAGGGAGAAAACAGCCCAATCAGCCTCATGGCCTTCCCTCCTGTCTGTTTCTTTCCCCTCTGACATTTTACCACATCCGATCTGGGCATGTTTTGTTGTTGTTGGTTTTTTTTGTGTGTTTTTCTCCATGCTGGCTTTTTGCCAGCCAGCAACGTCCAGCGAGGTACAGCAGATCTGTGCATTTTAAATAGGATAAATGGTACACTTTAGAGCAACATGAAGTGTTATACTGAGGGTATGCTTAGAATTATTCTTATCCTTAAGGTAATTTTCTGAGCTACGTTGCCTCTTTAGCCTCTTTAGTAACTTTTGCTAGATGATGAATTGTCCCAGAAGTTATCGCAATAAACGATAATATTGTTGTTATGAGACCGTTTTCAAGTAATGCCATAATAATGCAATAACACATTCTCAAAGATCAATAAGCTTTGAATTCTAACAAACATTTAACACTGGAACTGGAAGACATCTTAAATATCCAAAACAGATAAACAAAACAACAGGAATAAATAAAATGAATCATAAAGTCTCTGTAAACAAAATTGTTCAAACAATTTCTACTTGAGACCAAGTCACCAGAATGAAGACTTCTGTCGTCCAGTTTTTGGTAGAAAGAGAAAAACATTTAAATTATGCAAATGGAAATTATTGAGCTGATTTTAATACTTCATGTGGTTAATTAACTGATTTATTGCTTATTGTGACAGGCCTACTTTAGCCACACCTTGAAACACGACTCCCAACATTGAATTACCCATAAGTAATTACAGATTTTCAGATCTGAACATATATCTATGGGCATTTCCGACAAAAACGTAAGTTTTAAGAGCAGCCACCGGGCCGTGGCAGGTAACGGTGTAAGTGGATCCTAAACTTCCTTAGCAACAGATCCCAGAAGGTCAGGAAGTGAGACCACATCTCCCCCACATTGAACATTATTTTTTACATCTGGCTTTTAGGTCCAGTATATTTATTCATTGGGGAACAAATCTAATTGTAATTGGAGTTTCTTAGAACTTCTAATGACTTTTATTTTCCTTGGTGTATAAATATGATGTGACACGGAGGTCCATTTATTTTAGCTATTAGCCTACAGGCTGGACAGAGACCTCTATTTATCTCAGCAACACACAAAGTGAGCAGGAGGCGAAGGGAGATACGAAAAAAATCTTCAAAGCTGTTGGATACTTTCAACAAAAAGACATTTATTTAGATCCACGTGTCTCAACATCGATTAAACACAATCTACACGTCGACAGATTATTTGTGGGTGATGCCCTACCATGACAAACGTAAATATTTAAAGGGAAACAAAAGATGAATTTTTGGGAAAGTACATCAAGCCTACTGCTAAGCATAGTGGAGGACCTGTGATGCTGTGGGCCTGATCTCTCCTCGTTAGAATGCACGTTATCATGAGCTGTCTGAAAAGCCAAGTCATTTAAGTGACAATCTGATGGAATAAAGGGCTTGTACTGCAACCCAAAAAGGTTCCCTTTTCCAAATTTTCCAGATTGTTATGATGCTGCTGTGATAAACAAATATTTGAGGGTGCATTCACACTAACGCCGTTAGTGTCTTTAGTCAAACTCTAGTTCGTCTCCCTATAGAAGTCCAGTAAAAGTTCCTGCTCCAAAAGCAGGAAGTGGACGATAGGGCAGGGAATCCTGGGTAAATACAATCAAAACAAACAGCGAGTCTAACACTGGCAAAGAGAAATGGCCGTTTGGTCTTTTACCAAAGATGCTACTCCATTCTGTTTACATTTCATGAAAAAGGAAGTTACACTCAGTGTCTTCTTCTGATGTTTTTGTGTTGTTTCCTTCAGTGGTTCTTGGTGCAGCGCCACCACAGGCGAGAAGAGGAACAGGTTTTTCAGAGGTTTTGGGTTGTCTGATACAGTGGTGTTTAAAAGCGAACCGCAATGTAGCAAATGTTGCAATTTTGGTCCCTAATCGAACTGAGTCTACCGGACTATCAGGTGTGAAAAGCAATACTTTATGGCTTGTTAGCAGTAATCTTTTTATTTCCCCTCTACATTTGAACTAGATTGATACCACAAAACCCAAATCTTTGATAAGACTTGCAACATATTCTACTACCTAAAACGGTTGATTTCTTGACAATCCTTTGGCGTTGAAAACCTGGAGGAAATTCAGTGGAAAGCATCCTCAGACTATAACATCAAACTTTCAAGACCTCAAATCTCTCTTTTTTTTCTTTGTCAGCTCCTCCTTTTTGCTAATCCCTCCATCAGGAAAGTTAACTGAAGTGAAACCTGTCACATCATCTCAGACTACACGGCCAGGTTCACAGATAAGGCCAATCTTTCAGCTGTAATCTGTCGAGAAGGGCAAAGAGAAGACCACAAACACTAGGACACACACCAACACACACACACTCACACAGACAGAGACAGGAGGACTAGAGGCTTCGGCATATAGGTTCACTCACAATTACCTCCCATGTTGATGGGTTGAAACGCACACACACACACACGCACACACACACAGGTATATGTTCCCCATCTGGCTCTGGAGAGATAGGGTCGGAGGGGTGCTGAGGGCAGCTCCTGTCTGACAGATTAGCCAGGCTCTATTTCTTAACCATGGAGTTTCGATTTTTTGACGCCACAGTCTGCCATCCCATAATGAAGTCTTTGAGCGGTGACTTAGCACCAAGGACAGGTGGAGGGGAGGGAGGGTGGGTGTTGGTGGCAGAGCAGAGCTAATCCAGCGCTCGTACTAATGACAGCTGGTCAGATCACAGACTGGACAGACGCAGAGTACCGATGGAAACAACGTGTCAGAAATGCGCCAGATCATTATCCCAGCTCACCCTTCGTTCCCCGTTCTCCTGCAGGAACTTCTTCGCCAGAAAGATTTCCTCTGGAGCGCCTCCGCATCCGATATCTTTTGGCACCAGAATATGTTAAAGAAAAAAAAAAAGAAAAAGAACCCAACCCGCGCTGGCGTTTTTCCTCTGTGTTCCTTAATGAGGCGATCCGTTAATGGCCGTCGAGTTTGTTTTCGCTCGGCTCTCTTCGGAGTATTGTTTGTCCACTGATAGAGCTCTAGAGGCTCTGAAGTGCCAATTCACCACTGAAACACCAAGACGCTAAATTAACTGAGGCTGGTGGGAATCAGATAAAGCAATAAGTCTCGCTTTAAAAACTGGATCGAATTAATTTTAATTTGTGTGGGAGCAGATTTGGATGAGAGAAGGAAGAAGGCAGTCAGCATAGTTTAGGAATTCATTAGCAAGTATGTGTGGGCCTCTAGAAATCACTTGAACCATTTGATTTCACCGACATTGACCATGTAGTTGATTAATTTGAAAATAAATTTGCTTAATGGAAAAAACTCTTAATATTTCAATTAAAAGATTTGGTGCTAGGGATGGGGGGATTTTTTCTTTTTTTTTTTGTTGTCATATCAAAAAATTTTTTTGTTTTTTTTTTTTTTTGTTTTGCAAAACTGCAATGGAAACACTTTTTCCGCTTCACACGAGTCACATGATCGACAACTAGACGTTACTACTCGCGAAAACCACAAAGAAGAAAACAGGAGTTTTAACTCCTGTTGAAAACAGGTTAGAGGATGATGGTTCGCCATGTTTTGTAAATGACTTATTGCGTGAACTTATTCACATGTGAACTTAACTGCGTTTATTTAAAGGAAACACCGCAACTGTGAAATTGTCTTTTTTCAACATTAGCGGCATATAGACAAAATTTGTCAAGGAATTGCAGCGAGTGACAGTCAGTATACATTAATTTGAGTAAAACCGTCAGTGAGTTGATAGCAGAGCAACACACTCAATGCCTTGCCAAAGTATGCATGAACATTTTCACCTAATGTCACGTCAGAGCCACAAACATCCGTTTGTTTTATCCATATTTTATGTTATAGACCAGATAAATGAGGCACAATTTTGTGAGGAAGAAGTTAGTTCTTAATTCATAATCAGCTTTATACGCCCAGTTTGTGAAGACCAACAATATGTTCGACTTTGGCTCAAAAACATCCATCAAGAAATTCCAAACCAGAGCGGCGAGAACAGAAAGACTGGATTTTGTTGTTCCTACTTCCTGTTGCTTTTTGTGGTTTCATGAGGTTTGAATACTTTCAGACAGCAACAGGAAGTGAGGAAGCCACTCGTGTGAGTCGTCAGAAACTCATCCATCACGCCGTCTTTAACGATGTCAGTGAAGACGGTATTAGTCATGCTTGCTTTGCTCTCCAACAAGGTGATGGTGGGCCACCGCTGGCAGACTAACATATGCTGGAGTCACTGACTTGAGTCACATCAGTCTGCTTTCAGAAGCAATGCTGCAACAGCAACGGGAAGACAGCTTACTGTGACTCCCGAGTGGGGAGTGGGCCTGTGTTAGATTATAGAACAGCACCATCTAGTGGAGGGAAACCGTGTGTGTAGGAAGGCTTTACTACTCTGGAGCTGAGTGGTGTCATTTTCCAACAGTTTTATTAGGGAAATCTTAGACAGGATAAAAAAACAAATGTAAATTTCTGCCATATTTTTTTTTGAATAATCTCAGAAATTAAAATGTTCACATTTACAGTTTTTCAGTATTTTTTTCTGTGTACTCCGGTAGCCAGGCGACAACATTTTATTGACGAATTCATTTTTTGTCTTTGTGCAAAGACTATAAAGTAAGTCTAAAATTTTCTGGGAAAAGTTGATAAATTTTAGATTCATCTCAGAAATTTTCTAGAAAAAGTTGAAAACCTTCGACTTTTGAAACTCTAGAAAATTTCTTGAGGTTAATCTCAAAATTTGAGTTTTTTTTCTAGCAAATCTTTGACTTTTCAAGCTCAGAAATTTCCAAGTTTTTCTCTAGAAAATTTTGATGATTAATCTCAAAAGGTACTTCTCTATTTTTTGTTTTTCCCATCTGCAGCGGACCAAATACGCCATTGTACATTTTCTTATTCAAGATCTTTCTTTTTATCTTGATATCTTTTAATTATTGATGAATGAAAACAAAATTATGGCAATACAGATAAAGACCACTCTGCCCTGAAGTAACAGTAAATAATATTGAGTGCGTGTGTGTGTGTGTGTTTTCAGTGTGTTTGGCCACATCAGCTACAGGTCGGACTGGGAGCTGGTCAAAGTGGACTTCAGGCAGTCTTTCCCCCGTCAGTGCACCGAGTCGGATTACGAGTCCTGGCAGCTCACAGACCTGCAGGTAAATCATGAATACATTAGTTTTATTTCCCCCTATAATTCAGTTATTTGATAGATTTTCTGACATCTAAACTATTTTTGAGGACGTAGGAGTGCAGATGAAACGTATCGTGTTAGCTTGCGTGAATGTTTTCGGTGCGCTCGGGTCGCCCTCAGGGGGAAAAGTGCATTATGGGACGAGAGCGGACCTTCAGGAAGCGGAAGGACAGCGCGTTCTGCGTGAAAGGAAAGAGCTACACGTCGGCTCTCACCGCCACGCCCTGCCAGTGCACCGACAACGACTTCATCTGGTGAGCGGGCCACTGAAAGAAATGAAACGCGCAAAAACTACAAAAACAAAGTCTCTGATTGTAACTGTGCCTCTGACCGTTGGGCACATGCAGTGATTACGGCTTTGAGCGCTCCGACACGGAGGGCGATCGATGCTTCCCAGACTTCTGGTTCGATCCCGAATCTCCCCCAGAGAGCTGCCACCTTGGACAAAACTACCAGTCGAGCACTGGGTACGTTTCATATTTAATAAAAAAGGCTTGTTTTGTTTTTTGATTATTTTTTTTTTATCCCTAATTTCATTCTATGTGTTAATAAGACCAACACTTTGTGGCAACAAGTCAAATTTTGAAGCAAAAAAAGGTGGGAAAAACATCAGATTTTTATTTTTTTTTTTTTTACATAATGTGTCTTTTTTGTTTGTTCAGCTAATGTTGAGGAATAAATTACATCACTTAATGTTTAATTAATGTCTATTATTAATCAGGGCGTTGGAGTAGTTCTGTAATTTTTTTGAGATATTTTCTCTTTTCAATTCTTGATTTTCTGGGGGAAAAAATTGCTCTTTTAAAAAAAAAAAAATTCTATATGACAACCATTCCTTCTTGTTTAGGATGTAATGTACCTGAACTAATGTACCCAAACATTGGTGATGTTTGCCATCATCAATGTGGTGATGGCAAACATCACCACATTGATGTTTCCTATCAAATTATCATGATGTTTGGCATCATGGTAATTATTATCATTGAATAATAATTACTCATTATTCAATGAGTAATTCAACTAACTCATTGAATTACTGAATTAATTGAACATTCTTAGTGAAGGGTTTATTTCTATACTGAGTGACAGAGACAGCTTAAGGTTGATTTCCTGTTATGTTTTTGGACAATAAGTAGCTTAGAGTTAGCTAAAGTCTGAAAGGAGCAGAAACCAGAGTGGCTTTGACCAGAGAGACGTTTATAATAATTAGTATATTAGCTGTTAGCTTGTTTTTATGGTCGCTAAACATTTTTTTTTTCTTTCATTGTTCTCCGTTGTGTTTCAGCTACAGGAAGGTGATATCGAACTCTTGCGAGGGAGGCCTCGACAAGCAGCAGAGTGCCAAACAGCACAGCTGCCCTCTGCTGCCCCCGAAAGGGCTGAAGGTCGGCATTAAAGGCCAGATGCTGGCCGTGGCCCCTGGCGATGACATCACGTTCATCGTCCACCAGGAGCAGGTGTCGTTAAAAAAAGCCCTTTTCTCCCTGCTTTTCTCTCCGGCATTTCCTCTGGCACCGGCTTACGGGTCGTTTGGTTCCCAACAGGGCGACACGAGCAGCACCAGGTACCAGGTGGACCTCGGCGACGGCGTTCGAACCATTTACCAGAACCTGACGGTGACCGACGAGCCCATCCAGCACCGCTACGAACAGCCCGGCGTTTACAAGGTGACGGTGAAGGCGGAGAACATGGCGGGACACGACGAGGCCACCATGTACATCCAGGTCACAGGTCAGTGTTTGACCTACTCTGTGACCTTTGAAGGGAACGTATTTAGTCAGTGTTTTGTTCCTCTCCTCAGACTGACAGCTCTTTGTCAGAGGCATTAAACCTAAATGCTTCATTCCTTCTTTTATTCACACCTGGGAGTGTTCAACATGGCAGCAGAGACAAATAAACCTGTGAACAGTCAGAAAAATAAATACCACTTTTCAGCAACATCCTTCCTACAAGGAAATGCTCAAATAAAAATACAAATGTGGTTTGAGGAAGTAAAAAGTTTAGGAAGTTATTAAAAGCTAATGCTAGCATTCTAGCAATTCTGGATGAACAAAATGGAAATGTGTGCAGTGACTCCTGATTATTTCCATATTGTAGAAAAGATTATGTAAATCAGTTTAAGTAAGATGTTCTGTCCTGAGTTTTCACAACAATTTTACTTTTTTTGCAGTTTATAAAAAAAAAAAAAATCAAACCTCTAGACTCGAGTTTTTCAAAGTGGTGGCAGCCAGGGGGCGCCAAGTGAGCCTCAGAAGGTTGGAGGAAAGATGAGGAAGAAAAAAGCTAATTTCCTCATTTTAAAATGTCATTTTTTTAAGAATACAGTTAAATCTATTTACCAATTATTGTAAAATTTAAGCTAAAATAACTTACTGAAATGTTACTTACTATGCTCAGCTTTTTGATTGGCTGCCTGTCAAATTTATCCAGCTGCTTTGCTCCTCAAGCGTAGGCAGCAAACGCAAAATGGACAAGTTTGTGAAAAGAGATAGACCAAAGGAACAGAACAGAATTCATGGCCAACTAAAACCAGAAGGTATGAGGCAGCATTTATGGTAAACAAATATGAAATAGCGAATAAAAGTGAGAAAAAGCAAAGAAAAACATTCCAGACGTCAAGGAGCTGCAGAAATGCCGCCATGTTCTTTTGACAGAGGTGCCGTTTGAAGCATGCTGTGCTGTTTGATCTAAAGTGTTTTTATGTTTTCACCAGTCAGATCGTCCAACGATTCTGTTCGGTCCTCTTTATGTGTCACTGTGACCTCAGGCAACATGTTGAACTCAAACTGACCCGCTGTGCTCATTGGTGCGTAAAGACATCAGGGGACACGGTGTCAGTCTTGCTGAATGTGGCTTTTTACGTTTACGTGTAACAGCTGATAAGTAGAATAAGAAAGGCAGTGAGGGATTTTCCATTGAACAGTTTTTTTTGGGGGGTGAATAATAATAAAAAAACAAAACTATTTCCTGTGCAGAGCCTCTGCAGGAAGTTCACCTGGAAGCAGTTCCCATCGCCAGGAGAAACGGTGAAGTCAACCTGACGGCCGTAGTTCTTCCCACTACAGCCAATCTGACCGTCTTCTACTGGTGGCTCGGCGACGGCCCTACGGTAAAGCTGGAAATATTCAGCTGTTGTTTTACGGTGCTGACTGACAGATACCTATAGGTGCATCTTAAAGGGGCGGTGTTATGTAAAATCTATTTTTTTTTTTAGCTTTCCATCATGTTGTAGTGTTATTCCCTCATCAAAAACATACCTGAAGTGTTGATTTGATTCTTTCATGAATGTTTGAGAAATCCTTTAATCTCCATAGCAACCACTCACCTGTGCATAACACCTGGTGGACCTAGCCCCGCCTTTCAAACTTTGTTAAAGGGTTAATAGAGGAGCCATGTGTTGATGACTTTCTGAAAGCGGAGTTTCAGAAAGAGCTGGAGTTTCTTAAAGAGACAGAGGCCCAATTTCAAGGAACTAAATTACGAAGTCAAATTTCTTTTAAGTCGTTATTGATATATGTGGCATTTTTATAGCAACTGAAGGTAACATAGTTACTTCATTGTCCTGTAAAACAAGGCACTATGTGCCTGGAATATATTACAACAGTACCCCTTTAAAAAACTAAAATACCATAAAAAGTTTCATATTTTCAGTCTCTCATTTCAGAAAGTGAAACTCGTATATCATGTAAATTTATTGCTGAAATATTTCAAGCCAGAAACATCTCAGAAAATTAGATTATTGGATAACAATTAAAAACAGGCATTTGTAATGCATGTCTGTTATGTATTGGCCATCATAGTGGATGTGAATATTTACACCATAAAAGAGTTTCTGGGCTCCTTCAACTCATGAAAAAGTAGCAGTTGCTGTTAATGTGAAGTATATCAAACCTCATTTTGGTGTATTTAACATAATGATTTAATAATCTTTGAATGTATAAAAAGTTGATTATTATGAGGTTTAATTCCTAAGTTCTTGGTGTGCTGGTTTGTCTCGTTCTTCCTGTCGTGTAGCTAACATTTCTCCCTCCCTCTCCCAGCCCAAACTGACCCTCCAGAACAGCCTTTTGACCCGTTTCCCCGAGAGCGGAGAGGTTTCAGTCACCGTCCAGGCGTCCAACGGCCGATCCATGGTGCAGGACACAAAGATCGTCAGAGTCTATGGTAAGACAATTAATATGTTACACTTAATGAAGTGTCAAGGTAACGACGGTTGTGTGTGTTTTTCCATAATCAGGGACTTAGCTTAGCTTTGTGGACACGTAATACTAGATTGGTTTACTTAGTGACTGTAAAACAGCGTCTGCTTAGTGTTACATTTACAACCATTTCAAACAGTGGTGTCCACATTGCGGTGCGGGGGCCTTTTGCAGCCCTCTGAAGGATTTTGCACAGCGCCCGACCGCAACGCAAATAGATGGTTGATGCAAATGGATGAGTTTTTATCTTGTAGTGCAAGATTTTTAAAGATAAATAACTTACTAAAAAAAAAACAAGATTTTTTTTTACAGATGAATAATATCACGTTTTAAAAAAATCTATTTTGTTACAGATAAATAACATCTCCATAAAATAAGTCAGGATTCTTTTACTGGTGACCTGTTGTGTCGTAACACAGTTGCTCACAACCTTTCTTATGTTTTGTATCTATAATTAATACAAAAAAATGTACTTTCATTTATTATTTAGCAGATAAACTTAACAAAAATGACACAAAATGTTTGTTTTGAAAAACTTTTTTGGCCTCTGAGAGCTTTCAGTATAATGAGGTTTTATGATCTAAATGTTTACATTTGAGTCCTTATTAAAAAGAAACAAATTCAGTGGTAATCTTTCATAGAAGTGTTTGTTTGTCTTGTAGAGCCCTGAACAGAGCTGCATGATAGAAAATCTTGGTTTGGCTCAAAGGCTGAGTTGTAGCCATGCAGCTCATAGATGTGTTTTGTCTGTACGTTACCTACATGTCATTTCACATCAAATCTGCCTTTTTTTTTTATTGCGACTCTGATCCCATTCGGTTAAATGACATCACTTTGATTACACTTCTGCCGTCTACATCCGTCTAATCGAGACATTTCTGCTTTCCGCACACACAACCCGGCAACCTGCTGCCATCTGTTAGCGCCTGCAGCGCCGTGGAAACGCGCAGACTGAAACTACGCCACATGTTTCCTCCGAGGTGATTGGCAACGAGGCGCGTCTGTCCGTTCAGAGCAGCAGCTGTGGGTTTGGGTCGTGTTTTTCCGGGCCCGATCGGGTGTCGGTCCTAACGACTCACTCTCCTTCCAGACAACTTCCAAGTCATCCCGCTGAGCTTCAGCAGGAACCTGGACCGTTTCAACCCCAACATCCCGGAGTGGAGGGACGACGTCGGCCAGGTGGTCACCAAGCTCCTGGCCAAGGTTTGATCACTTCACTTCTTTTCCAGTCATTTTCTTTGTTATAGCCGACGTTGATGTTGCAGCTGGATGACTTGGTTGCTTTGCTGTGCGAGAGACGAAAGTTTAAAAAAATGTTTTCAATGGACGATGGTGATGAAGTATAAAAGATGACCAGAGAAGTGTTGCTCCATCCTTTATTGTTGGATTTTAGACGTTTATTTGCCCAATTTGACAAAATCTGTTATCAGTCCAGCAGCAGCGGTTTCATATAGATTTTCAGGGCTACAACTAATCAATTATTCTGACGATTAATCGAATGAAAGAACTGACAAAATCTGCATATTTTTCATTATCTACCAAAGCTTATTTTTTATAATTTTAGAAAAACATTTAAAAATGCAAATAACACAGTTCCCTTTTAACTAAAAAAATGGCCTAAAATGCAATAGCATAGCATTAACATAGTGAATGCTGGATCATTTGTAGCAAATGATGAATCTGCAGCAGAGGACTGATCTGTTGGACAGCAGGAGGCACTTAACTACTCCACTTCAGGAGAAGCTTAGAACGCATGTTCAGACAAGGAAGGTTTTTCATCTTTGTGTAGTTTTGGATTAGTCACTAAATTGGTGTAAAAAAAAAAAAGGCAAATACGTTGAGCTGAAATCTGAGAAACGACAAAGCTGAGCAATTCTTATTTTTTGTAGAATATGCGATTGTTGTCGGCTTCCTGCTGACCAGCCTTACACCGTTCTTTGTGACCGCATGTCTTCAGACCACAGGCGTACCTCAGGACTCTCTGGTTACCGTGGTGAACCCAGGCCTCCCCACCACGGCCGACCTGTACGTGTTGCCGCTGGACTCCAAACCAGCCAAGGGCAGCATATTGGTAGATAAGGTACATCCACACAAACCTGCACCGTTTCTCCCAAAGCATAAAGACACGTTCAGTGTAAACGCAGCTCTAATATGATGTTCTCCTTCTTAGCGTATCCCGGCGGTTGTTCAAGCGGTCAGCGACAAGAACGTGAGTTTCATGGTCCGAGGAGGTCTGCGGGTGTTGGTGATGTTGGCCGACCCGAACGCAGGTAGACCCTGAAAGCTGCCGACGCTTTGCTTTGTGTTTGCCGTGATTGTTTCCACTGTATTAACAATAACAAACAGCATGCTAATGACTATTTCCATTGAATAGGTTTAATTGCTAATGACTCGGTAGCTGCAGTGGCAGAGAATGGTGCGTCCACCAGACGTTCCCAAACACAAATAAAACCCTTTCCCTGTTGTTGTGACCCAATGAACCATCTCCACTTTGAGGCCGCCGTTCTGTCCTGTTCTCCCAAACACCCCTCACACTTTCTCATCAACACTAGCAAATTTTCTGCTTTTGCTTCTACGTGACGTCGGCCCCTTCTTGTCTGAAGCCTGTGCATTTGTTTGTCACTCTAGGCTACCACGGAGCAGCCGGAGGGCCAGGCGTTTGGGCGCTGGCTGTCATATTCCTAATAAGCGTCATCGGCACCGGCTCGTTCATTCTGTACAAGTTTAAAAGGTGAGCTTTGTCCCGGTGTGAAGTCACTTCCTGTTGGTCTGCACTCGGCCACAGCCAGTAGCATGGTCCGAGTTTTGACGCAAAATATCTATTTTCTTAATGTGTGATAGGCTGCTTATATTTACAGATACACAAACCCATTTGGAAATTAAAAAGACAATGGCAGCAGTGAAATAATTTTTCAAACGGTGTTGCAGTCCGGCCTCATTCAGAGAGGTCATGGATGTCGTGGTGACATCATCCCACCTCCCAGTGACAGGGGAATCAGAAACACGTTTACATGAGACGTTTAGACGCATGTAAACACTAAATAAAGGTTTTGTCATGATTCAGTTCCAAGAATGTATGTAAAAACAATTGTCTTCAATCAGAGGCTTCTTCAAATTCACAGTAACCCAGACTGCTACAGGAGATTTCTCCTGCCCCACAGCCGTTACCAGCTACAATAAATGGAAACAATTCTACAGAATAACTGAATTTTTGCAGCAGATTTTTATAGTTTTGTTAATTTGTTTGGTCTATTCAAAAGCATTATCTGAGACTCACTGGTAACCATTGCTTAATTTCCCAAGCTTCCTACCACACACTATATTTTGCATGAAATTTAGAGTCAATGACAATATCTTATGAACTGCATGCATTTTTAATTTATTATTTCCCCCCACAACAGTAGCTCACTAATAACACCACAGCCCCTGAGCGCGGAGCACGAATATCCACCGAAAAGTCACCTGAATGAAAAGCTGCCGTTTGGTTCTCCAGCCCCGCCTCATTAAAAACAAACCACTATCCCACAGTCCTTGGCCTAGGACTGAGGACCCCTATCCTCCACTGTTTTTCAGGAAGCTCCCCGGCAACCGCAACATCTACGCCCAGATGCACAACGAGAAGGAGCAGGAGATGACCAGCCCCGTCAACCACAGCGAGGACACGCAGCACATCATCCAGGGCGAGGAGTTCATCGACGACGACCTGGACTCGCAGACTCTAGGTAACGCAGGAGGCAGCCCCGCCTTCCGTTTTCTTATAAGGACTACCACTAACCACTGCTACTAAAACAGCCAGGCCACTAACTCCAGCAGCTAACACACACCAAGGTACTGAATGACTTCACCCGTTTTCTTTTAATGTTTTAATGTTGCTTGTTTTTGTTTTTTTTTGGTAACACTTTATTTGATGGGGTGTGCATAAGACTGACATGACACTGTCATAAATATGACATAACACCTGCTAAGAACACGTCTTTATGAATGTCTATGACTGTTGTCATGAAGTGTCATTTCGTAAATAATGGCACTTTATTGCAAAATTGCTCTAAAAGTTGCATTAAAAGTAGATTAAAAGTGTCCTTATTTACCGAATGACACTTCATGACAACAGTCATAAACATTCATAAAGACTTCATGTTCATAACAGGTGTTATGTCATGTTTATGACAGTGTCATGTCAGTCTTATGCACAACCCTTCAAATAAAGTGTTACCGATTTTTTTTTTTAAGCCACTTAAATGAAGTGATTATATGTGCAGGTGCATCTCAGTAAATAGACATGCAGCCTATTTAATTTCAATTAATTATTTAGTTAAATGTCCCTTTGGGATCAAGAAAGTTTTTTTTGAATTAAAAAAGGTGTGTATTTTTTTTTTTTTTAAGTTTTGCTAGTGCTCGTTTTGCCACTGCACTTTTTCCTTCCACTCAACTTTACGGTTGTTGTGGCAGTGTGCAGAGAACCGGCTTCGTCAGCATGACTTTTTGGGGTTAGCCCTTCTTTTCAAGAAACTTTGAATTTGGGAGCTTTTCTTAAATGTGAGCCTCGTAATCATCAAAAGCAGGAGCTAAACATCAATAAATGCTTGAGATATGAATCATCGTGTGTATCCTTTTTTTTAAATTAATTGAAGCAAATTAACTTTGCAGTGAAATTTATTGACTTATGAATATTTATTGAGATGTGCCAGTAGTTTTAGCATGCATGTTAAATGTTTTCTTCTATTTGACTGACATTGCAAAAAAAAAAAAAAAGTTAATTTGGTTGAGATGTGTGTTCACATGGTTACACTGTTTTGTTTAGAAAACGCCACAAAGTACCGTTTACACCATTCACTGTGATTTCTACAGTTCATCTGTTAGCTTAAGGCTAATTCCTTTGCACATGTTGTTTTTTCGTTCCCCCTCTATGCCCCCTGACTTCGTCTCCAGGCAACCACTCAGGTGTAATCCTGAGCATCAACTCCAGAGAATTACACGGTTACCTGAGCAGCTGATGGCTGACGGGGCAACGCTGACGGGCTAGCCCAGCCTAGCCGAGCCAGCTAACAAGCACAGGGACTCTGACTTCCTCTTCCTCCCTCCTCCCTCGTCTCTCTCTCTATCTCTCTCTCTCTTTTTTCATCTACGTTGGAAACATCAGATCTATCCAACAGCCTCTTCAAGCCCAACTTTTTGGTGATCTGTTTGAATTTGTTTGTATTCCACGTCCCTTTCTTCTCCTTTTCAATTCATCTCAACTCTGAAGACGTGTTTGAGGTTCATGTGTTGATTTGTGTGTCAGTGCTTCAAAAATGTGCTGAAGTAGCACAACTTCCCTTCCTGGTTTTATCTGATAAGATGGTTGATCAGTGCAGGCCAGCAGCGACTGAAAGCCTCGCAAAAGTATTACTACCACCTAAACCTTTATTATTAATATTTGTCATGTTGCAGCTGTGAACTTCAGTGTATTGGGCGTTTATGACACAAAGTAGCGTAAATCCTCTTGACTACCATGAAAAAGAGTTGGTTTTTTTTGTACTTTCCAAATTGTGTGGAAATTTGAACTACGGGTAGTCGCGAGGATATTTGTAAAGTAGAAAGAAATTATACATGACTTCATTTTTTAAAGATAAAACAAATCGATTATTTGTGAAACCACATTTTTCTAAAAGGTTACATGGAGAACATCTGTGAAAAGAAATTGTTACTTCGACTAGGCCACTCTACCGTGTGAGTGTGCGTTTCTGTAAACCGTTCTGCTGCAGCTCCAGTGGTAAGAAGAATGTCTTTCCTCCAGGCTGTTTTCAAAGCCTAAGATTTATTTTTGTCACAGTTTTTATCCTCTCGTCTTCCCCTTTGCAGCGTCCCCTACAGCATGATGCTGCCACCACTATGTTTCCTGCTGGTGCGATCAGAGCGATGTCTTGCAGTGATTTTCGTGTATGCCAAAAAGCTCAACTCAGGTTTTTCCTGTGATTAGTTTTGCTCAAACCAAGGACAGAATTTGGACAAAAATTGTGTCAACAAAATACTTTAACATGATATCAACACGATTTGTGTTGATTCTTCCTCAAACAACAAAATGCAAAAAAAAAAAAAAAAAAAAAAAAATCATCATTTGAGAACAAATCAAAAACAAAAGCATTTTGTTGTGGTAGAGCTGAGAAACAACGGTGCAAAAATAAAGCGAAATTTTAATAGAAAATCTGAAACCAATATAATAATCTTATGTATTCACACCTCAACCTAATAACCATGAATCATTTTCCTTCTACTTTACATTATGCAACAATTGAAGTTGCTGTATTAATAACACATTGAAGTTTGTGGTTGTAATGTGCCCAAATATAGAGCTTTGAAGGAGTACAAATACTTTTCCGAGGCACTGTCTGGTTCTGTTAGAGCATTAAATGTAGGCCATGCTGGGGTCGTGATGTTAAATGAAAGATGAGCCAGCTTTTACTCCTTTACTTACTTTTCTTCTCCCCCAAAGTTAGCACTCCTCTCTTTTTACAAGGCAATAATAATCTCAATGGAATGTACAGTATAATAAAACCCTTGTGAACTTGCATATGAAGGGAATAAGCATGCAAACACAAGAGGGCGGTGTTGCACTTTCTTGGAATTTCCACTCACAGGTACTTCTCACCTCCTTGGGACTTCACCATTATGTCCACACAGCTTTGATCTCTCTCTTTTTTTTCCCCATTATCCTATGTTACCATTGTTCCGGATCCTTGTTTAAAAATCGTATGAATATCGATGTGCGGTGTTTCAAATGAGTATCAGTTCTCGTGTGTCCCATGGTGCCTAAGACGGCAGACTTAGATCTGCTCTGTGACATTTCTCTGTTATCATGTTATTTGTGTTTTAAGTCTCCCGCGGTCAAACAGCAGGGTGGGAGGGGCGAGAGGTTCCCGAATCCACAAACACACAAAACCTGGTAAAAAAGGTCGCGCGCGGAGTCGCCATACAGGGTAAAAAGCTCGCGGCTTTCTTAATCGGCCCCATTTCTGACCGCGGGAGGGTTAAAAAAAAAAAAAGAAGAAGAAAAAAAAAAGAATGGCCCTTTCTGTTCCTCCTCCTTACGGAGCGGACTCTGTCCCCTGGAGACGAAGGTTGCTGACGTGAGGAGAAAGGAGGCAAGTCGACGTATTCTGTATCAGCCTATATTAGGCGTAGCCCACGGTGAAATCTTGTCTCTTTAAGGTTTGGTTTTGTTGTTTGTAAATGTGTAAATATGAATAGCGATTTCCACTTTGTACATACAGTCATATGAAAAAGTTTGGGTACCCCTATTAATCTTATTTATTTTTATCTCTAAATATTTGGATGTTTGCAACAGCTATTTTAGTTTGATACAACCAATAACTTATGGACTCAGTAATATTTCAGTATTAAAATGAGGTTTATTGGACTGAAAAAAAATGTGCAGTAAGCATTAACACAAAATATGACAGGTGCAAAAGTATGGGCACCTCAACAGAAAAGTGACAATATTTAGTAGATCCTCCTTTTGCAAAAATAACAGCCTCTAGTCGCTTCCTGTAGCTTTTAATGAGTTCCTGGATCCTGGATGAAGGTATTTTTAACCATTCCTCTTTACAAAACAATTCCAGTTCAGTTAAGTTTGATGGTCGCCGAGCATGGACAGCCCACTTCAAATCATCCCACAGATGTTCAATGATATTCAGGTCTGGGGACCTGAATATCCAGAACATTGTAATTGTTCCTCTGCATGAATGCCTGAGTAGATTTGGAGCGGAGCGGTGTTTTGGATCATTGTCTTGCTGAAATATCCATCTCCAGCGTAACTTCAACTTTGTAACTGATTCTTGAACATTAATCTCAAGAATCTGTTGATACTGAGTGGAATCCATGTGACCCTCAACTTTAACAAGATTCCCAGTGCCAGCATTGGCCACACAGCCCCAAAGCATGATGGAACCTCCACCAAATTTTACAGTGGGTAGCAAGTGTTTTTCTTGGAAAGCTGTGTTTTTTTTTTTGCCGCCATGCATAACGCTTTTTTTTTTTATGACCAAACAACTCAATCTTTGTTTCATTAGTCCACAGGACCTTATTCCAAAATGAAGCTGGCTGTCCCAGTGGTCTTCCATTTCCTTACTGTGTTCCTCACAGTGGAAACTGACAGCTGAAATCTCTGAGACGTTTTATATCCTTCCCCTAAACAACTATGTTGAACAATCTTTGTTTTCAGATCATTTGAGATCTGTTTTGAGGTGCCCATGTTGCGACTCTTCAGAGGAGATTCAAATAGGAGAACAACTTGCATTTGGCCACATTAAATACCTTTTCTCATGATTGGCTACACCTGGCTATGAAGTTCAAAGCTTAATGAAGTTACCAAACCAATTTTGTGCTTCAGTAAGTCAGTGAAAAGTAGTTAGGATTCAAATCAATAAAATAAGGGTACCCATATTTTTGCACCTGTCAAATTTAGTTTTGATGCATATTGCACATTTTCTGTTAGTACAATAAACCTCATGTCAATACTGAAATATTACTGTGTCCATCAGTTATTAGATATCAAACTGAAATAGCTGTTGCAAACACCCAAATATTTAGAAATAAAAATGATTAAGATTAATAGGGGTGCCCAAACTTTTTCATATGACTGTATTCCCATCAACGTGTGTGTTTGTGTTTTACACGACTACCAAAATAAATCTTTTTTATTATTTTCCTTTCTCCTTCTGGATTGATTCGCCAATGACTTTCCTAACGACGATATAAAAAAAAAAAGTTACTGGTTTCATCATCATCGCTTGCTTTCCTTGTATCCATTTTCAATATGACTGTGTTTTCCGATCAGGAATATTTCACACTTATCACTAACTGGAAGTAAGACTGTCATCTCCAAAAGATGCTGACAGCTACTGTATACAGTAATTATTATGTATATGGATATTTTTGATACACAAGTTCATTTTCTTTTTCTGTTGACCTCTTGCTGATGACTTTTTGTGCGACTGATTGCACTAACTGGTTTACGAAGTACGACAGTCCGATGAAAACCTTAAATCTGAAGGCCTTTGCAGACCAATAACCAGCAGCAGCTGCGTTTCCACTGACCATAAAATTGCGCAAGTTTAAATAAGGAAAATACATTTGCTTGATGGAAACACGCCAATTTAGAGAAAGAAAAAAAATAAAGTTTTATGCTAGAAAAAGTTAGGATGTTAGGATGTGGTGACCTTTTGGCCAAACTATGAAAAATATTGCATTTCGCAAAACTGCAATGGAAACATTTTAATTCCCCATCACGAGTCATGTGATCAACAACCGGATGTTACAACTAATGGAAAAGACGAAGAAGTGGTAGGATGATGGCACAGAATTTTTTTTATGAATAAACTTGATTTTAATTGCATTCTTATTTAACGGAAACACCAAAATTGAAAAATTGTGTTTTTATCCTTTTAAGTTTTTTTTTTTTTTTTTACACACTAGCTAACATTAGCTAACATTAGCTCTTGTGCACATCTGATACGGAAACGCAGCTACTGTTGTCACGACCACTCTTGGGGTTTATCACGTATTGAATACGGCACATTACATTCGCTTGTTTACACCTTAAATCATCTTTTGTACATATTCTGCTCATGTTCCAGTTAGTTTTCGTAGTGAGGTGTCGTCATTGTATCAATGTTCCTTTAAGCAAGAAGGGGGAACGTGAGGGGTTGTGATATTCCACTGTATTAGTCCAGTGAGTTTCACGGGTGATGACACTGACGTTGTGATTTGTACCACGCTGCTTTTTCTTTGGTTGCGTTTTCTATTCGCTGGTTTGTTTGATCTCTTCGTTTGTGTGCCGTCTCTTCAGGAAGCATAATGCACTGAACCTGCATCCTGAAATAAATCACTCCCATAACTTGTACGTGTGTCTGAACTTTATTGGGTCAATCACCCTTGTGACCTGGTACCACTTCACAGGCATCCATTTGGTCTGTTTGATACAGTCCAACAATAGTTCCCCCCCACCAAGATGAAACACATTTTTATAATTATATAACTTTATAAAAGTAAATTGTAAAATTGGGAAAAAATAACGACACTAGTGTTAAAGTGTGCATGGTGGGGTGGGTGATATGGACTTATAATTTTATTACACAATTTTGTGCTGTTTTGATCAATTTTCTTTTTTTTGTTGCTTTTTTCAGATTTACATTTATTGATGCTGTGGTGGGACAAACAATGCAGAAACTAGTAAAAAAAATACAATGATGTCAATTTGGTTTTTAATATAATTTATTGAAACAACTATAAGTTAAAATTCTTACTAGAAATTTTTCACGATAAATAAATGATAAATGCCCACCTCTAGTGCATAGCAATGTAAAAATTGAACCATGACTAGTCATCTTTACAGACATCAGTATAAACATAGGAACGATTATGTAAAAAAAAAAAAAATCATTGGAACAGGTAATAGCGCAGGCGATTAATAAATGATGAGACAAATTGACCGAATTTACAAGGTGGTACAGAGGAAATGCCCTGGAGGAGATCCTGGGGTCCAGAAGGTGAGGGTGAAGATGGTGAGCAGGGGCAGTGTAAGGGGAGAAAAGTTAGGACAATTCCAAGGGATTCTAACTGACAGGGGGACCCTTGTAAAAGTTTTTTTTTTCTTCAAAGTGCCCCAATTCTTTTCCATTTCTGTCAATTACAAAATTAAATGTATCGTGTTTTTTATTTTAACACGGGGGAAGAACCTGGATTGTGACTGAGGATGTGGCCCTAAAGCCAACTGGTAGACCACTGAAATAATATCAAGTGGCCTCGGGTCTCCCAATTAACATACCCAGGTAGGTCTGGCTTAGAATGATGAAACAGAAGTACTATACAAAATATATTTTATTTATACGTTCTTTTACAATATTAAAAATAGACTTTGTTATTCTAATTTAAAACCCAATAAAGCACAGGAACCCAGGACAAGACTAGAAGCAATCTGAGACTTAACCAAAAACGACTGCAAACCAAATTAGTAGAAACACAAATTAATGACACAAAATGATGTTAAACAACAGAAACAAATCCCACATTGCATCAACCCAGTCCAATAAGGCTGTACCCAATAAGTTAATTCATAAAAAAAAAATATAAACTGGTTCTGCAGTGCTTGTACTACAACTCCAGCTCTAGAAGAGGATCTATTAATTGAGCGCATCTAAACTACAAAACAGATGTACTTTGGTGAGAGCATAACACAACGGCAGCAATCTGTAATACCCAAAGATGACAATAAAGTGTCTGCTGAAAATAATAAAGCCATGTAAGCCTTAATCATCCACACAACGGGTACAGTGAGAAGTCACTGAAATGCATCCTAAGAAGCAATTAGATTGACGCGCACACCCGGTGCCTTTAAACACACTAATGAGCCCGACAAGGCTGTGAAACGGAAAAGGTGGGGAAACGGGGCCTGGATGTATTCAAAGGCCCAAAACGGGTGGGAATTTACAGTCACTTTACAAACAATATTTTACAAGTAAAACCACCCGGTTACATTAAAATAGTAGTAAAAATTAAATGTCACTATTCCCAGACCAAAAAAATACACATCTATATTTGCACTGAACACCCCCCTGGATCTGCATGAAATGGTTTGTTCCTGCTTAGCGCACTTGGGTGACGACGGTCAGCAGCAGTTAGAACAAGACGAGAACGACTGTGGCAGTTACTATGCTGCCATGAGAAAGTAGTCATGTTTTCAAAGAGAGAAATAAAAAAGACAAAGTGGGTCAATTTGTAGCCGTTTTTCTACAAGAGATGGGTAGACTGTGAGATTATCAACCATTTTGCATAGTTAGCTTAGCTACATACTACTGTTTGCCTCCATTGCTCAAGCATTTAATGAACGAAAGAAATAAAATTACTAACATATCTTTATATTTAACTTGTACCTGTACCTTTTACCACACTTGACAACAGACGATCCAGTCAGCAGCAGTTTTAGACCAGATATCAGCATAACCCCTTCTCCTGAAAAAGGTGAGCAACACTGTGTTCAGTGACAAGCTAGTCA